GGACGCAGTGTGGGCAGAAGTGGGCAGTCGAACGTGGGCGCCTCCCGGCCTCACCTGAGGCTGCCGTCCGGGGCCTGGGCCGGATGCCACCTCCTTCCCAGAGGCTGGCCCGGGTCCAGCAGCAAAGTCCTGCTGTGAGATGCCAATTGTCTGCTCGGGCTGGGGGAGGGGACTGCGCAGCCGGAGACCAGACACCAGGAGGGGGCGGGGGAGGGGCCGCCCTGCGTGGTCCCGTTCCCCTCCCACACCGATGCCGCCAGACACCTGTGACTGGTGCTCCGCTGGAGGTGCGAGCGCTGGCTCCTGTGCCCGCTGTCTCCGCTGTCCCCCCTGTCTCCCCGGTCCCCCGTCCCCACTGTCCGGAGGGCGGCTCTGCCCCGCCCCCACCCCTCCTTTGGGAAGGAGCTGGGCCGGCCCCTGCAGATCGAGCTGGGGGCCAGCCATCTGCATGAGAAAGGGGCCAGCAGGTTGCCAGGGGGCCCGACGGTCCTCTCTGACCCCTCCCCCACGTCCCCTCCCGGGGCTGGAGGACTTGGAGGTGCCCCCTGCGTGTGCACAGGGCGTGTGTGTCGTGGGAGGGGGAGGGCGCGGCGTCGCGGGAAGACACAGGCGCGTGTGAGCGACGCCTGCGGTGCACGTGCCCTGGGGACGCGAGGGCCTGTGTGACCCCGGCGGCCCCGAAGCGTCCCTGCCTGGGTCGCTGCGCCCAGAGCCCAGAGCCCGACTGGCAGCTCAGAGGGTCCTCTGTTCCTTCTTGGGGCCTGAGCCTGCCCGGGCTGCTCAGGGCTGAATGATTTTGAGTCTGAAGATCCCAAAATAGCTCTGGGAGCCTGCGTTGCCACCCCCCCCCCCCCCCGTCTGGGGCCTCAATGGCCCTTTGTCTCTGAAGGCCGCCAGCCCATGGGGGGCTCAGGCTGGGACTGAGCCTGGGAGGGACCAGGCTGACGGCCGGTTCCCTTTCCCCCAGCCCGGGCCTGCAGGCCCTGAGCCCCACCCCAGGGTTGGCCTCCCGGCCAGCCTACGGTGGGGGGGCAGACCCCAGGGGCTCTGCTATGGGGGGGCCTCCCTGGGCTCCCAGGCCTGCCCCTCCGCACTGCGGCCCCTCCGTCTCCCTCTCCTTGGAGCCACCGACGGCCCTGCGGGGTCACCCTGGCGCAGCCTGAGGGGGCCTCTCTGAGCCGAGCGTACGGACCCGGTCCGGGGGGTCTGCAGTGAGAAGAAGTAAACGGGCAGGTGTGGGAGCCTGAGCTCTGGGCCCAGCCGCACCCTGAGATGAGAAGTCAGACCCCACCCTGGGGCCCCAGCCGAGGGCGGCGCCCGGGGAGCCACTGGCACTATCAGTGACGTGCGGGCAGGGCCCAGGTCCCCTGCGGCGGGCGGGGTGGGAGGCCCGGGGGAGCGCGGCCAAGGGTCGGGCCTCCAGGAGGCCTGGCGGACGTCGCTCTGGGTCCATCTGGGCGCAGGGCGTGGGAACCACTCTGCTCATCGGCTTTTCCTGCAGGGCTGTATGGGAGCCTCCGGTGCCAGGGCTCCGAGGGACCGGAAGGCCTCCGCTGCGGGTGACGCGGCCCTGGCAGGAGGGCTGGCCCGTGCAGGGCGGGCGCGAGCGTGCCTGCCGGGGGCGGGAAGGGGCCGCGGGCCGCAGGGGCTCCCCAGCCCAGGAGGGCGGGCGTGTGTCCGGAGGAGCCTGCCCGGCCGGAGCTAGTGACCAGGGTGGGGCTCCAGGGCCTGCAGGCGAGGAGGCTGCGGGCCTCTGTGGGCGGAGGGCCCTGGGGGTGCGGCCGGGGGCGCAGAAGCGGCTGTGGGGGCCCCCGGGGCGGGTCTGTCCCCGGGTCTGGGCAGAGGGGCCCCCGGGGCGCTGGGTGGGGTCAGCGCGCTCTTCCCCGATGGGCCGAGAGTGGTTTGAGAGCGACCTGGGTGGCGCTGGCGGCGATGGCGGCCGTGGCAGCCGGTTTGGCCGAGAGGAGCCCTGCGGACGACCACGCCGGCGCCCTCCCCGGGCCGAGTGCAGCGTGTGCGCGGGGGGAGGGCGCGGCCACGTCTTTTCAGCGGGGCTGGTCAGTAGCATCTGGAGGGAACTGGCTCAGGGAGACGGGCGGGGTGCGGCCTGACCCCAAGAATGAGAACGACCCTTCTAGGTGCTCTGTCGACGTGAGGTTTAAACATCCAAACGTGTAGAGAATTTTTATGAGTTTATTGGAGCCAAACTGACCCCAGTTGCTGGGGGGTAGAATCGCACGGGGTGGAGAAAATGCTCACGAGATGCCGAGGCCGAGGGAGGTGGGGGGTTACCGGGCGGCCGCCGCAGGGGGCGGGAGAAGGCGGGGCGGGAACCTCGGGGACGGGATGACCGGCAGAAGGGCCAGCCGCGCCCCTCTCCTCCGCGGGCGGGGCGGGGCTGGAAAGGGTGCGACTCTGGCCTGCAAAGGTCTGTGACCTCGATGCAAAGGGACCGCAGACAGCCTCCCTCCCTCCCTTCCCCTTCACCTTTGTCAAGTAAACATTGACCTTTGTCAAAGAAGCGAGGAGCCTGGGACGGGCCACCCACTGTGACGCCCCGACCCACGTCGGGTCAGGAACGTTCAGGTCCCGCCGTTGCGCGTGGTTACCGGCGGCGTCTGACTGGGTCAGGCCCGCGCAGGCCGCCCCTGGGTGGTCGGGTTTAGGGGTTCACTATGTTGCCCATTTTCCTTCCACCCACAGCTCCCTCTTGCCCCCACAAAGGGCTGGCTGACTCTAGGAGGGGCAGGTGGGGGAGGCATTCGCAGGGCGTGGGGCCCGGGACCAGGCCCAGGACCGAGGGGGCCAGCCTCCGCGGCAGGGGCGGCGGGCGCTGCGGAGGGTGAGCTGGACGGGCATGGATGCTCCCTGGCCGCCTTGAGCAGGCAGGCAGCTGAGGACTTGGAGTCCGGGCAGGGGCCGGGAAACGGGGTCCGCGGGCGGGTGTGGAGACCCAACTACCGCCTCGCCGTGACGCCGTGGCCCCGAGGTTCCCCGAGTGGCCTCTGGGGGGAGCCCCAAGCTCGCGGGGACACTACGGACCTGAACTCCTTTGCACGTTCCTTCACCGCCGCGAAGAAAGCTGGGGGTGCGCGGTGGTGTGAGGGGTCGCCGTGCGTTCCTGGGGGGCGGTGGGCCCGCCCGCCGCCTCCACCCGCGGTGCTGGACGCAGCGCGCGTCTCCGCGTCGGGACCTGCGGACCGTGCCCTCCCCCACGGCGCCGCCGGGCGGGGCCCGCAGCGACGCGCAGACAGCAGCCTGGGACGGTCCCCGCGGGGCGCCGACCGCGGACCTCGGACCTCAGACCGGCCGGGTGGGAGCAGGAGGGGCCCCGCCGCTGCCACTCCCCGCCGCTGACCCCGCCCCACGGGCGCCCCCTCGCCCACCCCGCGCCCCGGCACCTGCCTCCGCCTCTCCAGCAGCCGCCCCTGCTCCCACCGCGGCCCCGGCCCGGCCCCCTTTCCAGCCCCAGCCCCGCCGCTGCCCCGCCTGCCCCGCGGTCCCCTTTGTGCCGCCGGCCTCCGTGGCCCCATCCTCATCCGCCTGTGCACTGCGACCCGCGACTCCCCACGGGCACCCGGGTCCCTGGAGACGGCTTCCTTTGTCTCAACTCTCCGCCCTCCCTCAGCGGCGGCCCTCGCCCCTCACTCACCGCCTCACCGGCGGCGCGGGCGCGGGCGCGGGCGCCCGGAGGCGGGAGCCGGCCCGGCCCTGCGCAGCGGCTCTTTATTCTCGGCCTTGCTGACGCGCGGGCTCCTCCCGCTCGCTGCCGTCGCCGCCCCGCCTCTGCCGGGGCCTGGAGCCGCGGAGGGTCTCCTCGGCGCCCTGCCCCGCGCGCCTCCCCACCAGGGGCGCCCCCCTCCCCCGATCGAGGGACCGCCCGCTGCCAGCCCCCTCCTCTCCAGGGTGGCCGGCGGCCCAGGTCGGGGCTGCGGGGGCTCGCCTGCGGGGGCTCCGGGAAGACAGCTGTCGGAGTCCCGCAGGGAGCTGCTGGTGACTTCGGCCTGGACAGGTTTTGGACAGCAGGGGCGGCCGCTGGCCCCCCGTTCCTCGTCTGCCTCGCTCTGAGCCCAAATTTAGGATTTCTACTCCTGGATAATTCTGCACACCTCTCATTATGAGCCTGGAGCGGGTGACGGGGGCCTGGCACCCCCTGACTGACCGGAGCTGAACTTTGAGAACACAGCTGTTGTCAGCTGTCCCAGGGTTTCCAGAATGGGGGGAGTAGCCCCGAAGAGGCCCAAGGGCACCCCGTGAGGACCTCCACACCCCGAGAGAGGGGGCTGAGGCGTCACAGGCCATGCCTCCGCTGCCGCTGGAGCGGGACCCCCGGCGGCAACGTGGGGTGTCCTTGCTGGTGCGCTATTTCATGATCCCCTGCAACGTTTGCCTGATCCTGCTGGCCACGGCCACACTCGGCTTCGCAGTGCTGCTCTTCCTCAACAACTGTACGTGGCTGCGGGCGTGGCCACCCTGGGCCAGGCCTCTGCGACCCAGCCCCCGCTCGCTGCGCTCCTGGCCTCGGCCACCCAGCACGGGGCCACGGGCAGGGTTGGCGAGGCCGCCGGCTGGGATGCAGCTCAGATGGGCCAGCTGCATCTTCTGAGGACAGGACGGGCCATTCTGTGGATTCTTGGGCTCCTGGGGCGGCCCCTCCTCCTGAGCTGCAGGAACAACTTTCTTGGGGAGCTGGGGAGGAGGGGGCAGCTGGCTGCGTGGGGAGTGGGCTGTGGCCAGGTCAGGGCTGGGCTCAGCGAGGGGGTAGGCGGCTGCGCACAGGCCTGCAGCTGGGTCGGGCTGCCCGTGCAGCAGGGGGGCCAGAGGGCAAGCGAGGGCCGCTGCCTGTGTCCATCCCCAGGCCTCGGCCCGTCCTCGGGCTCAGGGTGGGGCCGGGGAAGGGATGTGGGCAGGCAGGAGTGACCTCTCCAGTCCGGGCGGAGGGACGGGCTATGGAAGGACCGGCCTAGGGGGGCCTACCTTTGAGATTTGTTTCTTTCCAGACAAACCTGGGATCCACTTCACACCAGTGTCCCCGACACCTCCGGATGGTGAGTGGAAGCATCATGTGGTGACAGACTGAGCTCGGGAGTCTGTGCCTGGAGGGGCAGTGGCGCTTTTGGGGATCAAAGGCTATACCTGGGGTGTGTCTGGAGCGGGGAGGAGACTGGACAAGGGGGTCTGAGGTCCTGAGCTTGGCAGCATCTCGGTGCTGGCCCTTACACACGGCGCGGCCCGCGCGTCCCGGGGAGCGAGTCCTGCGCCCGCAGCTTGTGACCTGGGCGGATGTGTGCAGAGCCCGGGGGCTGGGCCAGGCTGGGGGCCTCGGCAGGACCAAGGCCAGCTGCCTGAGGAGGGATTGGAAGCCTGACCCTGGGACTGAGCCAGCTGGGGGGCCTGCCGGTGTGAGGAGGGAGACAGAAAGCGGTTAGTTGTTGGAGGGGGGGCCTGGGGTCCACTCACGGGAAGGTGCCTCCCAGGGTGCTCTCTATACCTGGGCCCCCTGCACAGGTGCACAGAAGTCACATGCAGGGGCTGGCCGTCTGTCTGCGGGAGGAGGCAGATCTGTGCTGGGCGGGGCGCGGGGCCCAGGACTGTCTCCTAGAGGCTGTGCCAGAGGCCTGGGGCCTCCTGTGTTTGGAGAGGGATTGAGGCTGTGGAGACGGCCCACCTAGGAGCTCCTGGACGCCCTCGCCACCTCTGCTGGAGCCCGAAGGGCTGGCGTGTCCCCTGCCCGTCCCCACAGCTGCGCACACAGGCCCCATGCGCACACTCCGATCCCGTCGCACACTTGGGAACAGCCACGTGCCCAGGTCATCGTCCTCCTTCCCAGGCACCCGCTCCGCACACTTGCGGCCACGGGCAGGGCTTGGTGGGCCCACCGTCTCCCCAGCCACCTGAGACCTGTTGCCGTGGGTGGCCCCGAAAAGCCACTGCGTCCCCAGCATTGCACCCCGGGGGCAGGGCGCTTGGGCCTGCAGGGGGCGAGACTGAGGGAAGCAGAGTGGCCAGAGAGGCCCCCGCAGGAGGCGGGGCTGGGGCAGGCACGCAGGACCCCGAGGGGCCCGCTGGGCACACAGACCGCGGCGCCTGGGTGCTCCCCTGCGCTCGCGGGGCGGTTGGCGGCCAGAGGGAGACAGAGGCCTGAGCCCGAGGGCGCAGACGCAGCAGCTGGCTGTGGGGCCGAAGGTGCAGTGAGGGGACCAGGTCCTGGGCCGTGGACTCGGGACCCTGGGAGAGGCCCTGGTCAGCAGGCCCAGTAGAGGCTGAAGGGAACAGCCAGCTGGACATCGGCAAGCGCCAGTGGCTTTCTCCTGGGGTGCGAGGGGCCTCGGCCGAGAGACAGAGCAAGGGGGAGTGGGGCCTGCGGGGGGACCGGGGAGGGTGGGAAGTGTGACAAGGGCCCCGGGGTTGGGGTGCAGAGATCCCATCTGCGGTCGTCCCGGGAGCCTTTGCTGGTCCCTGGAGGTAGGTCCCGTGGCCCCATCACGGGAGATGTGGAGGCGCGGCAGGGGGTGCAGAGCTGCGGGGAGCCTGGCTCCAGGGCCCGAAGGGGGACCTGAGAGGATGGGTGTGACAGGGTGCGCTGGCGGGGGGGCATGGGCGGCTGGAGGGGGCTTCAGGCGGGGTGTCCGTGCCGGCCCCAGGCTCCGGTTCAGGCCGGCTGTGTGGGGTGGGGGCAGGGACACCCAGGCAGGCATCAGGAGCCTGGGGTGCTCTGTTGCCGTGACAACAGCTAGCTCCAGCTTCCGAGTGCTCCCCGCCCTCCACATGAATGGAGGGTGCTTCCTCCCACCGACTTCCTGAGTCGAGCGGGAGGTAATGGGGGAGCCTCCCTGTCCCCCATTACTTATTAATGCTAATTGGATCCAATTAAACGTGTATTAGTTTCCAACAGCTGTGGCCTGCAGTGCCCCCCAGACCCGCCTGTGGGTGTGCAGTCCTGGGCCGGGTCCTGAGGGCTGAGCCAGCCCCTGGCCCTGCACCCTGGGCTGTGGCCCCTCCCAGTGGCCGCTTCCTGGGGCCATCGCAGGGGTTCCCCGATGGGATGTGTGCGGGCCTCCCTGGATGTAAGGAGGGCGGACCTGCCGAGGTGCCAGGCTCAGGGGGCCGGGCGGGGAGGACGGGCATGTGGGTGCCGAGGGGCCCAAGGAGAGATGCCTACAAGGCTGGGCAGGTCTGCGGGGAGGACGGCTCGGAGGGCTGGCCGCACGCAGACCGGGGGCTGGGGGCGGCTTGAGGGCTGTGGGCGGTGAGGGCGGGTGCAGGCAGACCCACCTGGGGACAGGTCCAAGGGGCGGCCCGGAAAAGCAGGAGGGGATGTTGGGGGGCGGGGCTGGGTTCCTGGCTTGAGCCAAAGGGCGCAGCGTGTGACCTGACCTCGGACCCCCACGCCCTGCCCCCAGCTGTGTGGCCTCAGGTGTCCAGGAAGGCAAGGGAGCTGGCCCATGGGGAGGCGGCACAGGGCAGGTGTGCTGGGGACACTGCAGGGCTGGGGCTGTGAGAGGGAGGTTGCCCGCCAGGTTGGGCGCGGCGCCTCCTGAGCAGCGCGAGGCCACCGCTGCCTGTGGCAGAGCCGGCCTGGGGGTGGGCTGTCCCCTGAGGCCGGCGGGGAGATGTCCCCCCACAGCCGGCACAGGGGCACGGGTGTTGAGGCTTCTCGGAGAGGAGAGGCCGAGGAGAGGCGAGGGCTGGTGAGGGGGCCCTGCGGTGGGCCAGGTGCCCACCAGCGTGTGTATGTGGGCACGACGGGCACACACGTGTGCCTGAGCATGAGCCTGTGCGCGCACACATGTGCACGAGTGAATGTGTCCCTGGAGTTTAATGAGTGAACAGTACGGACACCGGCCCAGGTGTGTGCGCGGATGACCGTGGGGTTGGGAGCTGGAAGGGCCGGGCTCTGACCCTCCTGCCTGCGCCCCGCACCAGCCTGCCGAGGGATGCTGTGTGGCTTTGGCGCCGTTTGTGAGCCCAGCGTGCGGGATCCGGGCCGAGCCTCCTGCGTGTGCAAGAAGCGCGCCTGCCCCGCCGTGGTGGCGCCCGTGTGCGGCTCCGACGCCTCCACCTACAGCAACGAGTGCGAGCTGCAGCGCGCGCAGTGCAGCCAGCAGCGGCGCATCCGCCTGCTCTTCCGCGGGCCCTGCGGTGAGTGCAGCCGGTACAACGCGGGGGGCGCGGGCGGGCGCGGGCCGCCAGCCTGACCCCACGCCACACCGCCCCGCCGCCCACAGGGCTCCGCGACCCCTGCGCCAACGTGACCTGCAGCTTCGGCAGCACCTGCGTGCGCTCTGCTGACGGACAGACGGCCACGTGCCTGTGCCCGGCCACCTGCGGGGGCGCACCTGGGGGCCCTGTGTGCGGCAGCGACGGCGCCGACTACCCCAGCGAGTGCCAGCTGCTGCGCCACGCCTGCGCCCGCCAGGAGAACATCTACAAGAAGTTCGACGGCCCCTGCGGTGAGCTGCGCCGACGCGCGTCGCGTGACCGCTGCGTGTGCGCACGCGCCCTGACCTCCGCCCTCTCACCCCCAGACCCCTGCCAGGACACGCGTGGTGACCCGAGCCGCGTCTGCCGTGTGAACCCCCAAACACGGAGCCCCGAGATACTCCTTTCGCCGGAGAGCTGCCCTCAGCGCCTCTCTGAAGAGGCGCCCGTGTGTGGGGACGACGGAGTCACCTACGACAACGACTGTGTCATGGGCCGCAGGGGGGCCGCCCGCGGCATCCTGCTCCAGAAAGTGCGCTCTGGCGCGTGCCAGCCTCAAGGTGGGTGGGCGGCTCCCAGGGAGGGTCCCCTGCGTGTCCCACCGCCAAGGCTGGGTGGCCGTCTGGCCTCTGACCTCCTCGCCTCTCCCCATCCCAGACCAGTGCCCAAAGGCCTGCAGGTTCAACGCTGTGTGCCTGGCGCGCCGCGGTCGACCCCGCTGCTCCTGTGACCGCGTCGTCTGCGATGGGGCCTACAGGCCCCTGTGCGCCTATGACGGGCACACGTACGACAGTGACTGCTGGCGCCGGCAGGCCGAGTGTCGGCAGCAGCGCGCCATCCCTCCCCGGCACCAGGGCCCGTGTGGTGAGCACTGGGGGGCCGTGCCGGGAGCAGGCTGGTGCCGCGTCGGTCCCTGCCGCCCTCATCTCACGCCATCTCCATCCCGAGTCACACTCCCCCGGGGCCGTGGGCGCGGGCGGGTCCCCCGGGGGCCTGGCAGGGCTCCCGTGTGCTGGCGGGCCCTGGGGCGGTGGGCTCCGTCAGGAGCGTGCCGGTGGCGCCTGGGGTCCGGGCGGCTGGCGGGGGGGCCAGTACGGCGCCCCGCAGCCTCTGGGTCCCCTAGAGGCAGAGGCGGCTCTGAGGGGCCAGTGGAGGCGGGGACTGCTGAGCTTCGGCCGCCTCCGGCCGCATCCTGGGGCCTGTCCGCAGTCGCTCCGCGCCTGTCTGCTCTCCTCTGTCCTTCCTTCCCTCTCGGCTGCGCCTCTTGTGTCTTCCAGCCTGACCTACGGGCAGGATGAGGTGCCGCGCCTGCCGCCAGGAGCCCGCAGCCCGAGGTCTGCCCCCAGTGCGGCGGGGGGGTGGCTCGCTGCTGCCTGGCCTTGTGGTCCTCAGAGCAAGTGGACAGACACCTCCCCCCCCGTGTGGCCTTGGGTCTGACACTCAGTTGCAGGCTCTTCCTGCCCACAGAGGACTCCCAACACGTGCACCCGTGTCCCGGGGTGGCTGGGGGTCGGGGGTCAGTGGCTTCGGCAGGCCGGGCAGGCCTGGCCCTCACACAGCCCACTGGGGGCCGTCAGGAAGCTCCCGCCTCGAGGACAGCCCACGCCGCAGTCGTGCGGGAGGCTGGGGCCGTCGGGGTCTGTGTCCCTGTCCGTGTCTGTCTTGTGTCTGTCCCTTTCTCTGCTGCGTCCTACGCCTCCAACCCTCCTCCTGGTCCGCCTTCCTGTGCCATCCCCCCCCCGCCCCCGGGAGAGGGTCTGCTGCGTGGAGCTGGGGGCTTGTGCGGGAGGCTGTGGGAGGCAGGCCTGCTGAGCGCCGTGTCCTCCCCAGACCAGCCCCGGTCCCCGTGCCGCGGGGTGCATTGCCGCTTTGGGGCAGTGTGTGTCGTGAAGAACGGGGGAGCCAAGTGTGTGTGCCAGCAGGCGTGTCCGGGCATCTACGATCCTGTGTGCGGCAGCGATGGTGTCACGTATGGCAGCACCTGCGAGCTGGAGACCACGGCCTGCACTCTGGGGCGAGAGATCCGGGTGGTTCGCAGAGGACCCTGTGGTCAGTGGGGGCCAGAGGGTCTTGCCGGGGTGGCGGGCACCCTGGGCGCCGCGGTGATGGAGCCTCTTCGCAGACCGCTGCGGGCAGTGCCGCTTCGGAGCCCTGTGCGAGGCGGAGACGGGGCGCTGCGTGTGTCCCTCCGAGTGTGTGGCCGTGGCGGAGCCCGTGTGCGGCTCCGATGGGCACACGTATGCCAGCGAGTGTGAGCTGCACGTCCACGCCTGCACACACCAGATCAGCCTGCGCGTGGCCTCTCCCGGGCCCTGCCGTGAGTGGGGGGCCGGGGGGGGCAGGGGCCTCCCCCTCCACCTCCCAGTGGGCCTGCTGACCCGCCCGGCCCCGCCTCTGCAGGGACCTGTGGAGACGCGGTGTGTGCCTTTGGGGCGGTGTGCTCGGCAGGGCAGTGTGTGTGCCCCCGGTGTGAGCATCCCCCACCCGGCCCCGTGTGTGGCAGCGACGGCGTCACCTACGCCAGCGCCTGCGAGCTCCGCGAGGCTGCCTGCCGACAGCAGACCCAAATCGAGGAGGCCCGGGCAGGGCCCTGTGAGCAGAGTAAGCTCGGAGGCCGGTGTGGGGTGCTGGGCGCCAGCTCGGACCAGCCCCGACGGGTGACCGGCCCCCTTCCCACAGCCGAGTGCGGCTCGGGAGGCTCCGGCTCTGGAGAGGACGGCGAGTGTGAACAGGAGCTGTGCCGGCAGCGTGGCGGCGTCTGGGATGAGGACTCGGAGGATGGGCCCTGCGTCTGCGGCTTCAGCTGCCAGGACTTCCTCAGGAGCCCGGTGAGGCCCCGCCCCCGTGGCCCCGGGCTGGCAGGGAGGCAGGGACCTTGGCCACCCCCGCTGACACCGCTCCTCCAGGTCTGCGGCTCCGATGGCGTCACCTACGGCTCGGAGTGCGAGCTGAAGAAGGCCCGGTGCGAGTCCCAGCGAGAGCTGTACGCGGTGGCTCAAGGAGGCTGCCGAGGTGCGCGGGCCCGAGGGCGCGTCCCGTGTGTGTGTGGGCACGCGTGTTCTTGTGCATATTTGTTGTGTTTCCTGTGTATGCGTGTCCTAAGGTGTGTGTGCACACAGGTGTGAGTCGGGGGTGTGTGCCTTGTTTGTGGGTGTTGTCTGTAGCAGACCTGTATGAACATATATGTTGAGTGTGCCGTGCTGGTGCACATTCACATCTGCAGCTGCACACGTGGAGTGGTGTGTTGCTGTGAGCCAACACGAGTGTACTAATAAGCACCCGCGTGCCAGGCTGGGCCTCCATGCAGGGCGTTGGCAAAGCCCACCCCCTGGGCACCTTGGCGCTCACTGTGAACGTCATAGGGGCACAAGTGCTCACGCACGTCTGCGCAGGTGTGCGAGCAGGTGGCTTTGGAGGCACACGGGTGAACGTGTGCACCCGCACATCTCTGTGTGCGCGCCAGGTTGTGAAGACACGCTGATCCGAGCACGTGTAGCTCTGGTCATGTGGCGTGTGCAGGGCAACGTGCCCTTGACCTCTAGGTGTTCTGCATGTTCCTGGTCCTGCGTGGATGGACATGTCCCTCTCTATGGTGTGGGAACCTCCGCTGTGGCCTGAGCCCCAGCCTCCAGCCCCAGTGGCAGCTGGCCTTAGGCGGGGGGCAGTGACGTCGGGGGCGGCTGAGGCGGGGTGGCCAGGCCCAGGGGCGTCTGGCACGGCCCCGCGTCTCCGCTCTGCAGGCCCCACTCTGGCTCCCGTGCCGCCTGCAGTCCACCCACACTGCACCCAGACCCCCTTCGGCTGCTGCCAGGACAACGTCACGGCTGCCCGGGGTGTGGGCCTGGCCGGCTGCCCCAGTGAGTACCTGAGCCCGACCCCGACCGCAGCCAGGCAGAGCCGGGCAGCCAGTGACCCCGCCTGCCCTGGCCCTGCAGGCTCGTGCCAGTGCAACCCACACGGCTCCTACAGTGGCACCTGCGACCCCGGCTCGGGCCAGTGCTCCTGCCGCCCAGGGGTAGGGGGCCTCAAGTGTGACCGCTGTGAGCCCGGCTACTGGAACTTCCGCGGCATCGTCACCGACGGCCGGAGCGGCTGCACCCGTGAGTGACAGGACCCGCGGCCGGCCCTTGGCGAGCTCTCCCGCTGTCCAGGCTGTTGCTGGGCCCGCGTCCCCCGCGCAGGCTCCCGCCTGGCCACCTCTGGCAGGGGCGGGGCCCCGGGGTCTGCGGGGAAGCCTGGCACAGACCTCGGCCCCCCCCCCCGCCGTGTTCCCTCAGCCTGCAGCTGTGACCCCCGGGGTGCTGTGCGGGACGACTGTGAGCAGATGACCGGGCTGTGCTCCTGCAAGCCAGGGGCCGCGGGGCCCAAGTGCGGGCAGTGTCCAGGTGGCCGTGCCCTGGGTCCTTCTGGCTGTGAGGCAGGTGAGGCCTGGCACGTGCGGGGGGTGGGGGTGGCTGTCCTGCTGGCCAGCCTCCTGAGCCAGCAGGCTCTCCTGTGTCTGCCCCAGACTCCTCGGCACCCAAGACCTGTGCTGAGATGCACTGTGAGTTCGGGGCGTCCTGCGTGGAGGAGGCTGGCTCCGCCCACTGCATGTGCCCCACACCCACCTGTCCAGGGGCAAATGCTACTAAGGTGAGGAGGGGGGCGTGTGGGGGGGGCGGGGGTAGGAGGGGCCCTCCCACAGCATCCCTGTTCCTGTGCCCAGGTCTGCGGGTCGGACGGAGTCACCTATGGCAACGAGTGTCAGCTGCGGACCATCGCCTGCCGCCAGGGCCTCGATGTCTCTGTCCAGAACCTCGGCCCGTGCCAAGGTGAGGCCCGGCCTGCTGCCCCGGAAGTGGTCAGGAAGGCCTGGCCCTGCGTGGCTCAGTCGCCCACCCGACTCTCCTCTCCTCACAGAGGCTGTCGCTTTGGGCGCCCGCCCGACACCCGTGTCTGCGGCCACCCCGACGCGCCACCCGAGCGAGGCCTCGCCCCTGCCCAGCGCCCGTCCCTGGGCCCCCAGCGGCATCCCCCACAGCCGGCCAACCCTGCGACCCTCGCCGCCACCCCGGACCCCCGCCAGCATCCCCAGGACCCCCTGGCGGCCCGTCCTGACCGTGCCCCCCACGGCGCCCCCCGCGGCGGCCAGCCTCGCCACGTCTGCCTTCAGTGAATCGGGCAGCGCTGACGGGAGCGGCGACCAGGAGCTGAGTGGGGACCTGGAGGCCAGTGGAGCCGGCTCGGGGGGTGAGCGCGGGCTCCGGCAGCGGGGCAGGGCCCCGGGAGGCTTAACCTGCAGCTGGGCTCAGACGGCACCTCCCCAGGACTTGAGCCCCCCGAGGGCAGCAGCGCTGAGACCGCTGGGCCACCCATCGAGAAGGCTTCCTGCTACAACTCGCCTCTGGGCTGCTGCTCCGATGGCAAGACGCCTTCGCTGGACGCGGAGGGCTCCAACTGCCCCGGTGAGTGGGCGGCCAGGGCCAGGGGCCGCCCGAGGCGTGGCCTGGCCCCCGCCCGGGAGGCCGTCTCTCCTCCCAGGAAGCAGGCCTGCCCAGTAGGCGGGCCCCCAGGGCTCGCAGTGTTCTGGTCTCAGGACGCACACGTGCGCGGCCTTGGCACGCGGCCCCGCACGCGGGAGCCTCGGCCCCGCGACTGAGCTGCCTCTCCTGCCGCAAGCTGGCCTGCGGCGCTGCCCCACGGAGTCTGCCTGGTAACCGGTGCCAGCCCTGCCCCGGCCTCACTAACCTCACGGCCATCTGACTAACCTCCACCTGCCCTGCACCCGTGTGGCTTGCTGCCAGGGCCGGTGCCCGCGGCTGGCCCAGAGGCCGGGCCGGGGCCAGGCGGGGCCTCACTGCCGCCTCCCCCACAGCCACCAAGGCGTTCCAGGGCGTGCTGGAGCTGGAGGGGGTCGACGGGCAGGAGCTCTTCTACACGCCGGAGATGGCCGACCCCAAGTCTGAGCTGTTTGGGGAGACGGCCAGGAGCATCGAGAGCGCGGTAAGCTCCGGCCTGGGGCGTGGGGACGCAGGCCCCGGCCCGGGGGCCGACCCAGCAAAGCGCAGGCGCGCCCAGGCAGCCCCCCGAGCCCTCCCCCGCGCCTCCCCCACAGCTGGACGAACTTTTCCGGAACTCGGACGTCAAGAAGGACTTCTGGAGTGTCCACCTGCGGGACTTGGGGCCCGGCAGCTCCGTCCGGGCCACCGTGGACGTGCACTTCGACCCCAGTGAGCCCCCGACCCGGTCCCCCCCCCCCCCCCGGGAGCGGGCGCTGCCCGGGGCTCCGCCAGGCTCAGTGCTGCCTCCTCCCCAGCCACGAGCGTCAGGGCGGCCGACGTGGGCCGGGCGCTGCTCCGGCAGATCCAGGCAACCCGGCGCCGGCCCCTGGGGGTGCGGCGGCCCCTGCAGGACCACGTGCGCTTCATGGACTTCGGTGAGTGCCCCTCCGGCCGGCCGGCCCTGCCCCACCCACAGGCCCTCCCTGGGCCCTGCTGCCTGGGGACCCTGACGGTTCCGCCCGCCCTCAGACTGGTTTCCTGCGTTCCTCACGGGAGCCACCCCGGGAGCCACCCCTGCTGCGGCCACAGCCAGGGCCACCACTGTGACCCCTCGGGCCCTCCACCCCAGTCCCACAAGCCGGCCCGTCAGCAGGACCACAGCGGCCCCCACCACCCGCCGGCCGCCCACCACGGCCCCGCATCGGGCGCCTGGACGCCGGCCCCTGCCCGCAGGCACCCAGCGGCCCCCGAGGCCCTGCGACTCCCAGCCCTGCCTCCATGGGGGGACCTGCCGGGACCAGGGCTCGGGTAGCGCCTTCACCTGCAGCTGCCCAGCCGGCAGGGGGGGCAGCGTCTGCGAGGAGGGTAAGGCCCGTCCTTGCTGGAGAAGGGCAGGGAGGCCAGAAGGGGCAGGTTGGGGGGCAGGGTCCAGCGACCATCGGGAGTCAGGGTGTGGGAGCTGGGCCGAGGGGCGGGTTGGGCTCCCCACCCTCTAACCGGGGCTGGGCGCAGGGAGCCAGGGCCTGGGCGTTCGCGCCGGAGGACCGGGAGGACCGGGCGGTCGGGATCCTGCTCCGCGGCCCCTCCAGCTGGTGCCTGCCTCGCAGCTCTGCGCCCCACGGTGCCATCCTTCGGGGGCCGCTCTTTCCTGGCCTTCCCCACCCTCCGCGCCTACCACACGCTGCGCCTGGAGTTGGAGTTCCGCGCGCTGGAGCCGCAGGGGTTGCTGCTCTACAACGGCGGCGCCCGGGGCAAGGACTTCCTGGCGCTGGCCCTGCTCGGGGGCCGCGTGCAGCTCAGGTGGGCGGGGCCGCGCGCAGCTCCGGTGGGCGGGGCCGCGCGCTCTGGGGGCGGGGCCAGGGTGAAGGCGGGCGGGGGGGGGTCGGCACCGCTGGGGGCTGGTGGGCGGGCGCTCTGCGGCTGTTTTTGAGGACCGCCTTCCTCCCCCCAGGTTCGACACAGGTTCCGGACCGTTGGTGCTGACCAGCACAGTGCCCGTGGAGCCCGGCCGGTGGCACCGCGTGGAGCTGTCTAGGCACTGGCGCCAGGGCAACCTCTCAGTGGACGGGGAGCCCCCTGTCCTGGGCCAGAGCCCCAGCGGCACTGACGGTCTCAACCTGGACACGGACCTCTTTGTGGGTGGTGTCCCCGAGGACCAGACTTCCGTGTGAGCATCAGGGAGCGTGGCGGTGGCCCTGGCCCCAAACCCGACCTCTGCCCTTGACCCCGGTCTCTGACATGTCGGTTCCGTCCAGGAGGCCCAAGCTGCCCGAGTAGCAGAGGGGTTGGAGGGACGGGCGTGGGCCGTGGCTGTGATCCCGACCTCAACCCTGGCCCTTGACCCCCCATCATGGTTCTGACCCATCTGTGGGTGGCATCCCCAAGAGCAGACGTGAGCGCCAGAGGGGGACGGGCCTCACGTTCGGTCCTGACCTGGACCCTCAGCCCCGCTCCTGCCCTGCCCTGGGGACCGGCCGTCTGCGAGCACCAAAAGAGGGGATGGGGAGCAGCCCTGACCGCGGACCCCGCCCTGGTGCAGGGTGCTCGCGCGGACCTCTGTCAGCGTCGGCCTCAAGGGCTGCATCCGCCTGCTGGACGTCAACAACCAGCGCTTGGAGCTCGGCAACTGGCAAGGGGCTGCTACCCGAAGCTCCGGCGTGGGCGCGTGCGGGGCCCAGCCCTGCCTGCCCAACCCCTGCCTCGGCGGCGCCCCGTGCCAGGCCCTGGAGGCCGGCATGTTCCACTGTCAGTGCCCTCCGGGCCGCTTCGGTGAGGGCGGGGCCTGGGCTGGGCGCTGGGGGGTCGCCTGTGTGTCTGGGGGCCGGGCTCAAGCCTCCCGGGACCCCATCCTGTCTCTGCCCAGGCCCCACCTGTGCCGAGGAGAAGAACCCCTGTGAGCCGAACCCCTGCCACGGGGCAGCCCCCTGCCGCGTGCTGCCTGGCGGGGGCGCCAAGTGCGAGTGCCCCCTGGGACGAGGGGGTGCTCTCTGCCAAACAGGTGGGCGCGCCGGCCTCGGGGCAGGGAGGAGGGGGAGGTCAGGCGTTTGGGTTTGGGTTTTGCTTGGGGCCAGGGTCGGGGTTGAGGCGGGGGGACCACAGAGTGGGGGGGGGGTGCAGTGGACCCCGTGGATGGTGAGACCCCTCCTGTCCTCCAGCCTCAGAACGGAACGGTCCCCGGCCCTTCCTGGCTGACTTCAAGGGCTTCTCCTACCTGGAGCTGAAAGGCCTGCACACTTTTGAGCGGGACCTGGGGTGAGTGGGGCAGAAAGGGTGGGGGAGAGGCGGCAGCCCCCGAGGCGTCGCGCCGCCGCCCGCCCCCCGCCTGACGCCTCGGGCCCCAGGGAGAAGATGGCGCTGGAGGTGGTGTTCCTGGCCCGGGGCCCCAGCGGCCTGCTGCTGTACAACGGGCAGAAGACGGACGGCACGGGCGACTTCGTGTCCCTGGCGCTGCGCGACGGCCACGCGGAGTTCCGTTACGACCTAGGCAAGGGGGCCGCTGTCATCAGGTGTGCGCTGCACGTGCGGGTCGGGGACAAGGCTGGGGACCCCGGGCGGGGCACCCGGGCGCCTCGCGGGGCCGGCGGCGGGGCTCACAGTGCTGCCTCCTTACCAGGAGCAAGGAGCCCGTGGCCCTGGGCGCCTGGACCAGGGTCTCCCTGGAGCGGAACGGCCGCAAGGGCGCCATGCGTGTCAACGACGGGCCCCGTGTGCAGGGGGAGTCCCCGGTGAGTGTCCCGGGGCCGTGGGCCGCCACCGCCGCCGCCTCCTCCTCCTCCTCTTGCGCCGCCGCCTCCAGGTGGCGTGGCAGCCCTGCCGCGCGGCTCTCACTGAACTGTTTTCTCTCCCGTCTGTCCTGTGCCCCTGTCTGCTCTCTGCTCTCTGGCCTTGCTCTGCAACCCCTACCCCGCTCCGCGGATGTCAGAAATCCCGCAAGGTACCAGTCTCCCGGCTCACCCTGCGCACCGTCTTCTGCCGCCTCCCCCCTAGAGTAGCCCCCTCCCCGGCCACTAAGCCCCCCCTTGGCCACGTCCGTGTGATTAACTGCCTTGTAGATAGGCTGGCGGGTGCGGGGGGGCCTGGCGGGGCGCAGCGTCCGCAGCCTGCCCAGCGGGCGGCTCCACGGCCCTCAGCCCGCGCCTCCCCGCAGGTGTCGCACACGGTCCTCAACCTGAAGCAGCCGCTCTACCTGGGGGGTGCTCCGGACTTCAGCGAGCTGGCCCGGGCCGCCGCGGCGTCCTCGGGCTTCGATGGCGCCATCCAGCGGGTGTGTGGCGGGGGCGTCCTGTGGGGGGCTGTCCTGGCGGGGAGATGGCAGGCAGGAGTGTGGCCCTCATTTCTTCTGTCCCCCCAGGTCTCCCTGAAAGGCCACCAGCTGCTGACCGAGGAGCACGTGGTGCGGGCGGTGGACGTCTCGTCCTTTGCAGACCACCCGTGTACCCAGGCGTCAGGCCCGCCCTGCCTCAACGGGGCCTCCTGTGTCCCCCGGGAGGCCTCCTACGAGTGCCTGTGTCCGGGCGGCTTCGCGGGGCTGCACTGCGAGTCGGGTGAGCGCTGCCGGCCAGGCTGGGGCTGCGCGGGGGGCCCGCGAGGCCTGCCCTCACCCCGCCTGTCCCTCAGGGCTGATGGAGAAGGCGGCGGGGGGCCTGGACGCACTGGCCTTTGACGGACGGACCTACGTCGAGTACCTCAATGCCGTGACGGAGAGGTAACGCGCCCTGCGCCCGCGCTGCCCGCCCCGTCCCGTCTGCAGGCCGGCAGGGCGAGACGCTGGCCGCGCCACCCGCCCTCGGCTCCGCGGTCGAGGGGCGGGCCCCGCTGGGGCCGCCCACCCCCCTCCTGCACCCCCCTTGCTCTCACCGTCTCTGTCTCTTTGTTTCCAAGCGAACTGGCCAATGAGATCCCAGCGTAAGTAGCCTGGGCCCCCCTCCACCTTCACTCTCGCTCGCCATTCCCTGCCCCTCGCCACCCACCTGGGCGGAGGCGAGCTCCCCGCCCAGGGGAGGGCGGGGCGGGGGCCGTTTGTGCTGCGTCAGGGCCCGGTGTGTGTTGAGGGGCGGCCCCCATCCTCCCCCTCAGCCACTGTTCGCCGCGTGAGCACCGTGTCCACGTGCACGTGTGTCTGCTTGCGCGTGTGTGCGGGGACATCCAGGGCCTCTCCCAGCAGGGAGCGCTCCGTTTCCGTGCCTACACCCCGTGCCTCGCCCGTGGAACGCTGCACCTGGCCTGGGCCCTGCCCGCCAGCCGTGTCTGCACACGTGTGTGGCACATGTGCCACTGCCGGGGCTCTGCGGTGGGCGGAGCGGATGGCCGGGGTCCTCCGCATCTTCCAAGGATGCTTGCTCCTCCTGCCTGCCGCGGTTGGACAGGGGACGTGGGAGGGCTGCGGCAGGTCCCCGCCGGGCACTCCAGCCTGTCTGTCCCCTGCTCACCTGCCTCCCTCTCTTCCTGCTTCTAAGCCCCGAAGCGGCAGGTTCCGGGGCCCCTCAGAGGTAAGCGCGCGCCGCCCCGGCCTTGCTGCCTGCCTGTCGCCATCCCATCGCTCCGTCTCTGCTGAGCTGTCCCTCCGTCTGTCCACCTCTCCTGCGTCTGCGCGTCCGGCCCTACCTCCCTCTGTCCGTCTCTCGTCCCCCTGCCCTCCTGTGGGTGCCCTGCCTTGCCCACCGCGCCCCCCGGAGGCCCTGACCAGCAGCCCTCTGCCCCGCAGCGAGAAGGCGCTGCAGAGGGACCACTTCGAGCTGAGCCTGCGCACCGAGGCCACGCAGGGGCTGGTGCTGTGGAGCGGCAAGGCCACGGAGCGGGCCGACTACGTCGCGCTGGCCATCGTGGACGGGCACCTGCAGCTGGCCTACGACCTGGGCTCCCAGCCTGTGGTGCTGCGCTCCACCGTGCCGGTCAACACCAACCGCTGGTTGCGGGTCCGGGCGCACAGGTCAGCTGGGAGCCCGGGGCGCACCGGGAACGGCGGCAGGAGGTGCCCCCCGGGGGTGCCGGGCCACGGGGGGCCGGTGGGGGCGGGGCCCGCTGACTGAGCCGAGGTCGCCTCTGGAGAGGGGCAGCGACCAGAACACAGCAGTTATGGTCAGAGAACCTCGGATCTGAAAAGGGGGTCGTTGCTGGCTGGGGACATGTCCCTCTGGTCTGAGCCTGGCCATCCCTTTCCATCCGGCAAAACCGAACCTCTGTGACACCCTCTTGCCCTGGCCACCAGGCACTCTCCTGGGGGTCAACGCCACTTTGTGCCGGCCCTGGGGCAACCCTGGATGGGGCTCAGGACCTGGAGGTGGCAGGGTGGGCCCTCTGGCGTCACCCAGTAGCCTCACCCTGGCCATCCCCCCAGGGAGCAGAGGGAAGGCTCCCTGCAGGTGGGCAATGAGGCCCCCGTGACCGGCTCCTCCCCACTGGGCTCCACGCAGCTGGACACAGATGGAACCTTGTGGCTGGGTGAGTGAGGGGAGGGAGGCCGGGGAGGCACTCAGACCCCCGCGGCCCGCACTGGCAGGGGCCCCACTCAGCAGCAGAGGGGCCAGCCCGGGTGGGGCCCGCCCCCTCCTCTCTCAGGCCCTGCAGTCAGCCGCGGGCGGGGGAGGGGCTAGGAGCCTGGCGTGTCAGCCGGGCGCCCCGCCCCCCCCCCCCCGGCGCCGACCGGCCCCAGGGGGTGCGCCAGCCGGTCCCCCTGCGGGCACAGCGGGTGGCCTTACCGTGTCTGTCCTGCAGGGGGCTTGGCGAAACTGCCTGTGGGCGCGGCCCTGCCCAAGGCCTACGGCACGGGCTTCGTGGGCTGCCTGCGGGACGTGGTGCTGGGGCGCCGGGCCCTGCACCTGCTGGAGGACGCTGTCACCAGGCCGGAGCTTCGGCCCTGCCCCGCCCCGTGAGCCGCGCCGCAGCCGCCACCGCCTGCTGTAACCGTTTTATATTTTTGTAAACTCGTTGCTTTTTTGATATGGTTTTCTTGCCCGTGTTTCGGCTGGAAGGACGTCGGGCCTGGCCTCCCTCCGGTCCAGGCAGGCGAGCCGCAGGGACAAACTCGGGGCTGAGGGGCGGCGTGGAGCCGGGGCCCGGACAGCAGCCTCAGGACGCAGCCCCAGCCGCCGCCTGGTCCCAGCCCTGCCTGCCGGCCGGGCTTCCCCGCCTGTCGGGACCCACCCACACCCCGCACCTGGAGAGGCTCGAGGCCCCAGAGGGGAAGCTGCTGCTGCTGGGGTTGCAGGGGCCGCCTGGGCCTCCGCGGAGCGCGGGTCCCCGTCCGCTGGGAGCGGCCAGCCCCACCAGGACTAGCCTCGAGCCAGGCCGGCCCCTCCTGGACCTCCCGTGCCGATACTGTGACTTAGAAACGATGTTACTGTTGGGGCCACACGGTGCGGCCCCAGCTGTGTCGACCAGGCCCAGGGTGCTGCAGGGCAGAGGCCAGGTCTGGGCCTGATGCAGGCCCCTAACCCTCAGCTGGCCCGGCCGCCCGCCCAGCCCCCTGGACGTGGCTGCGTCCCCTCCCCGACACCTCAGTCCCCGAGAGAGGGAGCGGGTCCCTGTGCTGTAGGCGATGTCTGCTTGCCTGGGCAGCCACCGCCCTTCCAAGGACAGATGTCCAGGCAACCGCCAACCACAGAGTGTCTAACACGATGCTTTTATTTGGCATCTGCGGCGGTGGGGCTGTCGCCCTGTCCCGAGAGCCGCTGAGGACGCTGCGCAGCAAACCCGTCCGGCTCCGGCGTGGGAAGTGGTTGTCCTGCTTCAAGAATGACCGGGGCCACGGGGCCGGCGCGGCGATGGCAGAGGCGGCTGTGAGGCCTTAAACTGCAACGCTGCGTCTCCTGCCGACCACCCCCCTCTGCCACAGGCTGCGCCCTCGTCCTGGTCGGGGTGGCGGTCCCCACGCCCAAGGGCTGAAGGCGGGAGCCTGTGTGTCGCGTTACTAACCCCAGTCTGTGTGTGTGTCAACCACCATGAAATAAAGTCTGAACACGTGGGAAGGTGCTTGCGTCCGCCCCGCCGGCCCCGCCGGCCCGGCTCCTCGCCTGCGGCCTGTCGGCTTCGCGGTGGGCGCGGGCTCCGGGCTCTGCTCGTGGCTGCGGACGGAGGGGGCCCGGCGCTGGGGTGGGGGCTGCTTCCGGCGAGGGGGCCCCTGCCCCGTGGACCCGCAGGGAGCTGGTAGGGGCGGGGCCTGTGGAGCAGGCGCTCCAGGTAGCCTCCTTGGGGGTGGCCTTGCAGCGGCCACCCATGCTGCCTGGGGGGGGCAGGGCGCCCCCTGCACGGGCTCCGGCCGGTCCTCCTCTGGCCTTGTGGGGAAACACGCAGCGGGGTGTCCAGGGCCTGTGCGGCAGCTGAGCCTCAAACCAGGAGCAGGAAGGCGGGGGCGGGGGGCGGCGCAGCGTGGCCTCCTCCCTGGGACCCCTGACTCCTCGGAGACGTGTTTTTCCCGGGGCCCCCCACGCTGAGGGGGAGCTGTCCCTGGTCGCCCGCAACTCCAGGCCGGTACTGGCGGTGAGGCTGAGCCTGTCGGGGAGCCGAGGGGGCATGGAGGATGGGTGCCCACCACCGTGCGCACACTGGCTGGACAGGGGCTGGGGTGTGGCCTTGGCCGTTCCCGGGAGGAGCCGGAAAAGCCCAGGGACGGTCCTGGAAGCTGAGGGTGGAGGTGGGAACGGCACCATGAGTGGCTGACCCACGTCGAGACCCAGGACACAGGTGACCACGGGCCAGCGCGGGGGTGGGGGGTGGTTGGGGGATGGCACTACACGCGGCGGGGGGTGCGCACGCGGCGGGGGGGGGGGCCCTGTGGCCACAGCCTCACCCCTGCCCTCCCGCTGGCGACATGCGGGGTCCGCGCTTCCGGCCTGGGCTTCCCTCCTGAGGCCTGAGGGGGCATTTGCAGGGGAAGGGAGCGGGGCTGGCCTGGGGAGGCTGCCCAGCCCCCTTGCGGAGGACCAGCCTGCCACCTGGTGGCCACCCCCGGCCCTGCAGAGCCTGCCCGGGGCGGGGCGGGGCCGGCCGACGGAGACTGGCGTGGGCGGGCTGCTGCCGGGCCCTGAGGTCCTCGCGGGTCTCTCTGTCTCTGTGTCTGGGAGCTTTCTGGCGGCGCGGGGGTCTGTGTCCCCTCACCTGGCCAGGCCACGCCCCCCAGTCTCACCGGGCTCCCACCTCCTGCCCCTGGTCGGGTGGCTTCACGGGCAGCTTCCTGCTGCGGGCGAGTCAGAACGAGCCGGGGGCTTCGAGCCGTCTGCTCACAAAGCAGCGGGACCGAGCGGACCGCCAGTCGCCTGTCGCCCGCCTCCTGCCCCGCTTCCAGATCGGAGGCGGCAGCCAGCGTGTGGGTGTGGCCCGGCCACTCACGGCCGCCGCCCCCCCACCCCGCGATCAGACCGGAAGCACAATGTGCGAGGCGGGGAGAGTTCCGACTCCCTCAGGGGACTGGTCCAGCTCCGCGAGGAGAACCCCGAGCGGGGAAGTCAGGGCCTGCGCTTCCCCGGAAACAGGCGAGCCCCGGGGGTGCGGAGCAGGCTGCTCACCCCGGGGCCCAAGGGACCCAGCACAGCGCGCCCCCCCGGGGACGGGGGCGCAGGGCGGCCGAGGGGCAGGGTGTGGGCCTGGGCTGCGGCCCCGCTTAGCTTGGACACAGGCCTCTCCTGCCAGCCCCTCAAGGCCATGAGGCGCAGCGGGCACTGCCCGCCCAGGCCGGAGCTCAGCCAGGCCACAGACCTTGAGAAGGCCTAGCAGGGCTTCTGGGAGGAGTTCGAGGGGCGGGGTGTGGGGCGGGGGTGGAGGGGGGTGTGGTGGGCCCTGGGGAAGGGCCCGCTGTGGCTGAAGCCTCCCGTCCTGCCAGGTGCTGCAGCCGCAAGAACGACAGCTTCTGTGTCCACAGAAGGGCAGCGGCCAGAGAACAGGCCCAGGAATCCAGACAACATCCTTGCAACACCCTCCCCCGTGGAGGGCCTGGGGCGGGGGCTGGCAGGGGTCGTTTCTCACCGCAGGTGTGAGGCTCCCTCTCGCACGCCGGGCCCCTTGCTCACCTGGAGACCCAAGTGGCACCTTCCCTTCCCAGTTGACGCCACCCGTTGCCCTGCATGGTGTGGACGACCGCATACCTGGTGCCGACTCCCTCGGTGTGGGGTGCGTGAGGCACGTGCGCCTGGCCAGCTGCCCCTGAAGAGCCAGGGCCCAGGCTGTGGACCTTGGCAGGACAGGAGATACTTGGGGGAAGGGGGTGTGGCAGCCCCCAAGGCGTCCTCAGAGGGGACTGGACTACATGTTGGTTCTGAGCCCCTCCCCAGCCTGTGGTGGAAGGGACGCTGTGTGGGCCACCTGGGGCTTCCTGGTGTGTCATTTGCATAGACTTGCATTTGTCCTCTGGCCCTGGAAACAGCCGGCAGCTGACCCCACCCCCTTTCATGGACTGGGCAAGGCGGACACCGTCACCCAGAGCTGTCTGCAGGTCAGGGTGTCCGCCTCCTGACCACGGTGCACCAAGAGAACACGCATGGCATCGTCATGGCCGCCCGGGGGTGGGGCGAGGCCGGGGAGGAGGGCCGGCTGGCCCCATGTGCTCATCCGGACGTGCGACGGTGGCTGGTCCAGCCTGGCTGCTTCAGTCTTCAGGAAGCTCTGGGAGTGCGGAGGGCCCTCAAGGGCCCCCAAGGGCCCCTGTGTATTCACGGGTGTGTGTGTGTGTGTGTTTCCCCGCCGGGCACAGGGCGAGGGTGCTGGGGGCCTCCTAGCGCCACTGATACAGTGTTTGCCATGCCGGCCAGAGCTGACGGCAGCCCGAGTACGGCTGGGCACCTGGGTGCAGCGTGGCAGGCTGCCCGGCCTAGGGCTGGTGTGTGCGGGGCTGCAGGTGTGGCGGCCGGACCCGGTGAGCCTGGGGGGCGTCTGGACACTCGGAGCCAGAGTCACGGTGGCCGGGTCTGCTCTGGGGGTGAGGAGGGTCCTACCTGGCTCCACCCGACCCCACTGGCCTTGCTGGCTTCCACTTCGCTCAACTCAGTGGCCGCCGTCTTGGCTGGGGCTCCGCTGGGCGGTGCTCACAGCCCGGCCGCTCTCAGCCCCAGGCCCAGACGCCCTGCTCCAGGGTGGCCTCTCGCACACGTGGCCCCCACAGTTTCTTCTTGGGCCATCTCAGCAGCGTCAGCCCCCTTTGCAGGCCAGTGGGGCCTGTGTCTGTTCCAGTCCTCTAGGGCAGTGCAGGGTCCTGCAGACCCCGCACCTTTGCTCCTTCCCAAATAGAACTCACTGCCCCCAAAACCTGCTCCCTCGTCCCTTCCCCAGGCAGCTGGGCCACCAGGGGGCCATCTGTGCCCCCCAGCCCTGAACCCCATCTTTTCCTTCCAACCCCTCCAGCTCGGTCTTGGCCCTGCTGATCACTCCTGGCCACAGCTTGCCTCCTCGCGATGTGTCCCCTGCGCCTCTCCCACCCCGGGGTCACTGCAGCGCCTGCTCTGACCCCGAGGCCAGCCCCACCTGGGAACTGCCCAGAAGGGCCTGGGGGCGCTCACCTGCCGGCCCCGCCCAGGAGTCACCACCGCGCACAAGGGAGCATTACCAGCGCTTCAGCCCGGCCAGACTGCAGAGTCCCCACCGGGCTTGCCGGCATCCTCGGCTTCCTGGAAGAGGCGAACCGGGCCCAGAGAAGCAAGCCAGGGGCCAGCGGGCCCAGGAACGGAGGTGGGAACCGGCCGATGGTGACTGGCCTGGGCGGGCTGCTGCCTGGCCTTCAGGTCCTTGAGGGTCTATCTGTCTCCGCCTGTGTCTGGGAGCTTTCTGGCTGCGTGGGGGTCTGTGTCCCCTCACCTGGCCAGGCTATGGCCCCCAGTCTCACCAGGCTCCCACCTCCTGCCCCTGGTCGGGTGGCTTCACGGGCAGCTTCCTGGTGCGGGTGTTGCGGCTGCGCAGCAGCCGCGACCGAGGGCAACTGCGGTCGCGGCAGCTGCGACCGAGGCCGGGGCCAGGCAGCGCAGGTGCGACCGGAGGCGGGAAAGGGCCACACGGGCATTGCATGTGCAACCAGGGACATGGCCATGGCTTCGCCCTGCGAATCGCCGCAGGCGTCGCGGTCGGTCCCCACAGCGCCGGCATAGGACGCGGTGGCACCATCACTGTGGCTGCCGTCCTGGTGGACGTCGTCCGAGAGCAGGGCGAGCTGCCCCTCCGACAGAGCCCCGCCCCTCCGACAGAGCCCCGCCCCTCCGACAGAGCCCCGCCCCTCCGACTGAGCCCCGCCCCTCTGACAGCCCCGCCCCACCGCCTGCCCCACTCCTCCCATGGGCCCCGCCCCTCCTGCCCGCCCCGCCCCACCGTGGCGCCACGGCCCCATCTTGAGCAGCCGGTACCCAGGGCTGGACAGCGTCATCGACGTCCCCAAGACGATCCAGCGGGTGCGGCGGCAGCGCTCGCGGACGGCGCAGCCTGAAGCGCAGTACGAGTTCGAACACCTGGCGTCGCCGCGGCGCCTCCAGGGCGAGCGGCTGCGCCTGCGCGAGTGGGCGGGGTCCGCGCGGGCATCACCAAGTGACCGGCGGCCCCGTCCCCCAGCGTGAGCCCCTGGGAGGGCGCGACTACCAAGACCCGCGTGGCTCCAGCGCCCGCGGCGTGAGTCCCGGCGTCGCGGGGTGGGACCAGACCGGTGACTGCATGCGGACCGGGCGGTGTCCCCGCCGGGGCCGGGAGCCCTCGGGGACGCGGCCGGACCCCGGAGACCTCCGGAGGCGGGGCCGAGGACCTGCGGAACCTCGGGACGTGAGGGGCCTGTGTGCCCGCGCCGGGCGCGGCTGGAGCCGCGCGAGGAGACCCGGAGCCCAGGAAGGCCGGCCTCCTTCTTGGAAGGGGCTGCGGTTAGGACAGTAGCTTCGCCGGGAGCCTGCACGCCTGACCCTCCCCACGCGGCCTGAGCGCCTGGAAATGCGGAGGGGCAGTTGGGAGACCCTGGTGTCCCAGTCCCTTTGGGGCTCCCGGGGTGGGGGGGTTGGAAGGGGCAGGGCTCTGGTGGGACCACCAGTGACTGCCTGTGACCACGCGCAACAGTGACCGCGTGTGACCCTGTGCACCACGTTTGAGTGTGTCAGCCTGTACGTGTGATGTGAGTGACCAGCGAGCCGGCTCCAGCCCGTGCTTGTCACCCCCGCCCCCAGAGCTGACCCCAGCCCCGCCCGCGGCGGTGCGGTCCGGGATGTGGCTCAGTCCCTGCGGAGTCCGGGCCTGCCCCAGGCCCCGACGTTGTGGTCCCACGTGGGTACATGCTTGTTGAATGAGAGAATGTTTGAGGTGCTCATGTGACCGCATGTGCAGCCTCCTGTGTCTGGCTCCGCCCGTGCCGAGGGTGAGGCTGTGTGTGCGCATCGGTGGCGTGTGACCGGCGCCGCGTCACTGTCATGTGGCCCGTGGGCGGCGCTGCACCGTCCCATCCCCGCGGGTCCTGTGGCTTCGTGGTGTCCTCGGTAAAATGCCCTGTTCCCAACTCTGTCATTGCTGGGGCCTGGGAAAGGGTGCGTCTGGGTCCCCACGGCCCTGCAGCTTCCCCAGGGCCTGCCCGCCAGCAGAGGCCCAGCTGGGTGGGACAGGAAGTCCAGGGCTCCGGGCGGAGGAGGCTGAGAGCCAGGACCGGCCCGGCCTCTCTTGGCCGTGCCACCCAGGGACGCAGGGTTCCTGGGGCCGATAGCACGGCCGGGTCGCGGTGGGGTGGGCGCTGGCAGGGTGCTGCTGCTGCCCCAGCCAGGCCCGGGGAGGGTGTGCAGGAGGGGCCCGTGGCCTGTGAATGGTCCGGACACGCAACTGTCAGGGCACAGGAGGGAACTGCCACCACGTCTGCTTGCGTCCTCGGATCCTGGCAGCCACGGGGTTCTGCCGCCCTGCGGTCAGGGCCTCCCGCAGGACTGTGGCCGGCGAGGGAGAGGGCTCTGGACCAGGCCAAGGCCTCCCTGACCCAGCTGCTCTGGGCCCTCCCATCCTCCCTGGGGGAGCCTCACAGTCTTGGGGGCAGCCCGGAGGGGACCGGAGCTGGACCCCTAGCCCCTGGGGCCCACCTGCCCTAGGGGCTGCTGGGAGTCAGCTCTTGTAGGGATGTGTCCTCTGGGACGGGGTGGGCTGTGGGCTTTTCTGGTGGGAGCGACTCTGGTGCAGGGAAGAGGGCGCATGAAGTGAGGACTCCTTTCCAAGTGTGGATACAAAACAGTTTATTTAAAAATGAACAGCTGAGGAGGGTGGGATGGGCGTGGGGGTCCGGGCTCTCAGCCACTGCCCTCTGTGCCCCTGCACCCACCAGGAGGGGCCCGCCCTGCCTGGGCAAGGCCTGGGGAGGAGCCGTGGGCGAAATGTGAGGTGAGGACGGTGCCCCCTCCACCACGGGGGGGGGGCTGCCCTGAGGGCGAGTCCGTGTGCACGGCAGGGGGGCGGGGGGCTGGCCAGGCCATCCCTCCTGGAGTTCATCTCCCCAGCGGTGCCATAGGCGTTCGGGGGGAGGTCTCTGGGGCTCATAGGAGCCTGGGGTTCACCCCTTCCAGACCCAGCCCCATAGAACGGGGGCAGGTGAACCCGATGGGGCCCTCGGAGATTCGGGGCTCCTCTGGGGTCCTGGCTCCCAACAGCTGCTGCACCGGAAACTCCAGCTGTGGGCGGAGGACCCACGCGTGGAGTGTGGGGTGAGCCTAGTTGTCAGCCAGGGGCTCGCGCGGGGGGGGCGCTGCGAGGGGGGCGGTGGCCGCGGCGGTGCTGGCGGGATGCTGGGTCAGGCAGTGCAGGCTCCCGGTCCTGAGCGCGCAGTGCACGGGCCAGAGCACCACGCAGAAGAGCGCCAGCAGCAGGACCGTGATGAGCGCCATGCGCCTCCAGTCCCTGCAGCGGGCCCAGCAGCGGGCCAGGCGGCCCCGGCGGCCGGCAGGGCCTGGGGGCGGGGGCGGCCCGGGGGGCTCGGGGGGCTTGCTGAGGCCCACGTCCACGCACACAAAGCCAGGCGCCGAGAGGCCAGGTGCGGGGGGCTGGGGGCAGCAGCACAGCTTGGTGCCCTCCAGCCACACGGGCTCCTCCTGCCGCAAGTGTGCCGGCATCCTGGCCTGCAGCTGGCGGCTGGTGCGCAGCCCAGGGGCCCCGGTGGCGGGCACAGCTGTGGGCTGTCGGCAGAACGGGCAGGGCACGGCCTCGCTGCCGGGTCGGCCTGCGGGCTGGGCAGCCGCCAGCCGTGCCAGGCACTCCAGGCAGAAGACATGCGTGCAGGACAGCTCCTTGGGCGTCTTGAAGATGTTATCATAGCCTGAGAAGCAGATGGAGCACTCCAGTGGGGAGGCCACCTTCTCTGAGCCAGGGGTGCCGGGGGACCTGGGGCCGCTGGCCGAGCCGGGGGACCTGGGGCCGCTGGCCGAGCCGGGGGACCTGGGGCCGCTGGACGAGCCGGGGGACCTGGGGCCGCTGGCCGAGCCGGGGGACCTGGGGCCGCTGGACGAGCCGGGGGACCTGGGGCCGCTGGACGAGCCACGGGACCTGGGCGCTGTGGCTGTGGCGCTGCTCCTGCCAGGGGGTGGCACAGCTGTGTGCCACACCTGCTCACCCAATGCCATGGCTCTGAGCTGTGGGACAAGCAGAGACGCCTGTGAGTAGCTGCGGGCTGCCCCTCCCTGCAGGGCCAGCCTGTTGTCCCCTCTCTTGCCCGGCACCAGTGCCAAAGGTCCCGGGAAGGGCATCTCCAGGGAGTGCCCCCGGTAACCCTGCCCCACCCCCTCCAGCCCCTCCGGCGCTGAGGCAGGGTGGCTCCCGAGAGCCCGGGCCTGACCAGCCCAGATGGGTCTGAGAACAGACGCCGCGCACCTGGGTGTCATGCTGGCCGCTCAGGGGGCGCCTCTTGCCAGCCCTGCCTCCCCTGGCAGTGCCCCGGCAGAGGTGCCGGCGATGACGACCACGGCCCCCAACAGTTACTGTTTCCACGTGGGCCCTGCCAGGGTGGCTGGGCCGTGTGACAGAGAAAAGGCAGCTGGGAAGGTGGGGGACTCAGCCAGGTCGCCCGGCCAGCAGGCCCTGGGCTCTCCCAGGTGTGGCTCCGGGCCAGGCACAGTGGGCGGGAACCCAGGTCCCCGGGCAGGTGCCCGACTGCCAGGCAGCTGTGTGAGGACCGGATGCCGGGCCTGGCAGGGGGTCAGGACGTTGGGGCTGGGGCAGGCCGGTCAGTCCACAGGAGGCGGGGCGGGGGCAGGGGCGGCCTGAGGAGGGTTTGTCCTCCAGCCGTGCCCTGAACCTGAAGGGCCAGCTCGCAGGGCTGGCGATGAGGGCCCTGGGCTGCCCCTCAGCCCACCGAGGGGATGGGAGGTGGGGGCCTCTGTCCTCTCGGCCGGGCAGGCAGCCTCGTCCTCCTGACCCACACCCGTTTCCAGGGGAGCCTCTGTCTCCCTGGCCCCCACACGGGGCCCAGGTCTCCCTCCCAGGCAGCCACAGAGCAGAGAGAGACCAGGGCCTTTGGGAGGCCCTGACCCCGTGACCCCGAGGAGCTCGGGAGTCCCCCCCAGGCGACCCGACCCTGAGTTTCTGGTCAGTCCAGGTGGGCCAGCGGGGTGACTTCTCGGTGACGCGCCGCGAAGGTGCGGGTGTCGCTGCATCATGACTGATGGCCGTGAGTCAGGGGGGTGTCACCGTGACGTCACGCATGCCCCCCACATCGTGACATGCAATGTCACCACATCCGGGAGGCGGCAGCGGCGGCAGGTTAGGGGCAGCCTGGGCAGGGTCGGGGGACTGTGGGCTGTGGGCCTCCCCCCCGGCCGGCGTGCCCCGCAGAACCGGTTCCGTGGTCGGAGGCCCCACCCTGGAGGCGCCGCCTCACCCCGAGCCCATGCAGGTGAGAGGCGAGTGCCCGCCGAGCCGGCTTACCTGGTGGGCGGGGGTCAGCGGGGCCAGGGCATGGCCCTCCTGGTCGGCCACGGCCGGGCCCCGGGGCTCCGTGCTCTCCCCTCCGGCCACGCGCGCTCTCCCCGGGGCCGGGCCCAGCCCAGCCGGCTCCCTCCGTGGGCTGCCTGGCAGCAGCTGTCGCGCTGGCTCTGGCCTGGCAGGTGTGCTCTCTGCGGTGTCCCGGCAGGTGGGTGCGGGCGCCGCGCGCTCTTGCAGGTGTGGCGTGCTGGGGCAGGCGTGAGTCCTCTGGCTGTGGGTCCTGGCAGGTATATTTATATGCTCAGGTCATGCTGGCCAGGGGTGTGGCCTCAGCCGTGGGATTGGCTGGCCTCCTGTCCTCTCCCTGGCAAGCTGGGCAGCAGAGGGCGGGGAGTCTGAGGGGAGAGGTCAGGGCCTCGGGTGGAGCGGGGGGCCCGGTCAGGCCTCTCAGCCCGGGCGGGCCTGGGGGGCCCGCGTAAAACCGCCCCTGCGGCCCCGGAGACGCTGAAACAGCCCCTCCAGGAGCAAACCCACTCACTGCCCCTGTTCGGGGCCCCGGTGGCACCTGGGCTCCTGGGGACCCCCAGCCCCCCACTCACACTCTCAGCCCCACATATCGCACCCTGTGATGTCACTGATACCCCCCATGGACACAGCCCACTGACACGGGGGGGCCCACACAGGCGTGGCCCTCCGGTGGGTCTGCTGTCCCGGCGCCTGACGCCTGAAGCCTCTGGGGGCTGGGAGGGCTCGCCCAGCTCTGGGCCCAGAGAGAGGGGTGAGAGGTCAGGGCTGGGAGCGCCCCCAAGGGGTGGAGTCCGAGGCGAGGATGTGGCAGGGACCAGGAGGGCCACGAGGATTCGTCTGGGGTCAGTGTCTGCTGTGGGCCCCTAGGCTATACGCGTGGTACCCTGGGGCCCAAGGAAGCCCCTGACCCAGCCAGGGGGTCTGGAAACCTTCCTGGCTGAGGAAAGAGGTTTCGGCCACTCAGCATGGGGTCCCGGCCGCCCCCAGGGCCGGGCTGTGCTGGAGAGGCCCGGATGCCCTGCCCGCCCCACCCCTGCAGGCGCGGTCGGCTCCCAGCCCCGGCCACGCACAGCGCACCTCGGTGCACCTCGAGCTGGTCTCAGGGCAGCGGGCGCCCTGCTGCTGAGAGGTGACCCCAACCTTGGGCCCGTGGGGACGGGGAGTTGAGCCTGGTGATGCAGGGAGAGGCGTGTGGCCTGGGCAGGGGTGCCAGGCCAGACACCCCCGGGCTGGCCTCCGGCTGCACCCACCCACCTGGCAGGTGCCACTGACGCCCTCGGCTGGGGGCCTGGGGCCCCTAGACTGCCCAGCCCCCAAAGCACCAGGAGAATCGCCCAGACAGCAGAGGTCAGAGGTCAGCAAGAGGAAGGCGAGCATCAGGAGGCGAGTGGGTGCCCTGGGCCCAGGAGGGGCCAGCCGCGGGGACGGCTCAGGCCCTCAGAGGAGGCGGAGATGCCGGCGCCGGAGGCCTGCGGACAGCGGCCTGTCCCCGCAGGAGGGCGGGGCGGGGCTTGGGCCCAGGAAAGGCCCCGGGCCCCTGGGTGTGCCTGTGAGGGGGTCTCAGGGAGACGCCTGCGCGGATGGTGGGGGCCCAGAGGAGGTGGGTGGGAACGCAGAAGGGTGGGTGCTCAGAGGGGGCGGGGCCCCGAGCAGTGGTGGGAATTCAGACGGGGGGCGGGGCCCCGCTGTGCATTATGGGGCTGAGTTCCCACGGGGTCACGTGCTGCCTCCCGGAAGTGTCCTCGGTCCCTCTGCTCTGAGGACACCATTCTCAGGGCTCCTGGGAACGTCCCAGCTCTGAGGTCACTCGAGCTCCTCAGGGGACAGTCCATGCTCAGAGGCAAAGGGACAGGAAGACCTGAGGGAAGTGCCCTCTGGGGGCTGATGAGGCCTCGCTGGACAGGAGGCAGGGCCCGACCCCGGAGCTGGGGCCCGGCCAGCCCACCTGGTCTCCGCACCTGCCGGCTCACTGGCCGGCCCGGGAGCAGCTGTGCCTGCTCTGCTGTGCGGGCGTGCGGCGGACGTGCAGGCACAAGCAGGCCCCCTGGCCGAGCGTGACGGCACGCGTGCCCCTGTGGGTGCAGGTGCGTGCACACGTGGGAGGGGAGCGTGGCTGGCAGCCTGCGACCCCGCAGCCCTGGGACTCGCCGGACGGGGACGAGGAGACAGCCCTCAGTGACACTGCTGTCCAGTCGTGGCTGAGGTGTGGGGCCCCAAGCCAGGTGGGCAGCGAGGGCCGACCCCAAGGCCGGCCGTGGGCTGACCCCTCCCCGGGACCGGGCAGAGCTGGCCGCAGCTCCCCGAGCACTGCCCGGCACAGGAAGGGGTCGCGCGAGGCCCTGGGGTCCGAGGGCCGAGCCCCCACTTGCCCAGCGCTGGCTGACCTGCCGACTGCTCCGCCGCCCCACCCCCACCCGCCGGGGACCCCTGCGCTGAGGCTCCGGGAGTCCGCGGGGCTGCAGGGCTTCCGGGGGGACCTGGGACGCCAGGCTCTGGCCCGACACGGGAGGCGGGGGCTCCGGGCAGGCTGTGCACCTGGGTCCAGCGTCCGCCCCACCCCCGGACGCTGGGCTGCTGGGCTGCTGGGCTGCGGACTAGGTGGCCCAGCAGCCTTGCCCCTCCCCGGCCAGCAGGGCGGGCGAGGACCCCGAGGTCGGGTGGCCACCCCCCGCCCCGCACCGGGCTGTGGCTGGCTCTTTCTGGGGCCAAAGCCCAGGTCCCTGCCCTCAGGTCATCTCCTCCACCGTCCAGTCCCATCCCATGCACCCGCCTCCCAGCGCTGCTGACCTCTGACCCCCCATCAGCTCTCAGGGCTCCCCCAGCGCCGAGTGGATGAAGGAATGAATGAGCTGCCGCTGTGACCCCCGGGCTGCGCCCCCTGCAATGTGCTCAGCTCCTGGGGCACGGTGGCCGAACACAGCGCCCTGCAGAGCCTGGGGTGGCTGACACAGTGCCCCACCTGCCTGCTTTGGCCCGAGCTGATGACCCCACAAACTGGGTTCATCTTGGCCTCTTTCGTGAGGGGCGGGGGGTGTGCAGGGCCCTCAGGAGACCACCCGCCCCTGCCAGCTGCACTCTGGCCTGGATGCCCAAGGTCACGGGGGTGGCGAGTCCAGCCATCCCACCCCTGCTCCGGGTGCCCAGTGGCAGGGACAGACTGGTATGGCTGAGGGCTCACGGGGCCAGGACCCCGGCCTCCAAGGTGAGGGGAAGGGCGTCCGAGTGTGGGGCTGGGGCTGGAAGTTGGGGGGGACCTGCAAGGCTGTGGGCCGTGGAGCTGGCAGGAGGGACCCTGGGTTTCAGGGTGGGCGGAACGCTCCGGGCCTGGCCTGACGGGCCAGACCTGCTGTCCTGGTCGAACACGGTGGTTTCCTGTTTTATCCCCAAGTTAGGAGCTTGGCTGGGTGCCAGCACAGGAGCAGCGGGCGTGAGCCTCCTCTCCTTGGGGGCTGGACGGGCACCCCGACAGGTGGGGCCACAGGGGCCACGCGCAGACTGGCTGCGTGGCTTCTCCCTCCCGTGGTCCCTGAAGCCACTGGGGACCCCGGCCCCAGTCTCCCTCCTCCGCGGTGGCCCCCCTCCCCAGGCACCGGACCAAGGAGAGAACAGCGGCGCCCGCAGGGCACAGCCTGGGCCCCCGGACCCGTGACGGTGAGGAGCGTACGCCGGGCGCGGTGGGCACAGGGGTGGGCGCCGCTCCTCTCGGCCCCCCGGGGCCCCGGCCTGCGCCCCTGCCTTCCCGTTTCCACCAGGGCGTGTACAGGGGCCCCACCCTCCGACCGACTCCCTCTGGCCAGGCCTCCCTGCCAGCCGCCGACGCTGCAGGGACAGGTGGCGGCCTGCCTCCCTGCCGGGCCCGGTCCTGGGGGGCTGCTGGGCAGGGCCGGGCAGGCGGTGCCCAGGGTGCTGTCCCCCCGAGCCCAGGACCGGGCCTCAGGGAGCGGTCCCGCAGCCTCCTGGCCTGGCAGACGCTCCCCCAGCTGCCAGGTGGCCATGGCCCACACCCCAGGGTCCCCAGGGCCAGGCCTGGGAGTGGCCCCCTGCTGCCCCCAACAGGGCAGGGCTGTCCTGCTGCGGCCCAGCTGGGGGCCCGCCGCCCACCGCACCTGGACAAACGCCTCTGTGCGCGGCGGCCCCTCCAGCCGGCAGGTGACCCGTGACCCTGCCGCCTCCGGCTGGGCCCGTGCGGTCCGTCGGTGCAGGTCGTCGGTGCAGGGCCTGCGGTCCCCGAGCGCCACCCCCCGGCCAGGCCTGCTCCACTACAGAAAAGCCCTTCTGAGAAGCGGCCTCACCTTCCCAACTCAGCTCTGACAGGGCTAGGGGGCTGCTGGGTGGTCCCGCCGGCGTGAGGCACCTGGGGACAAGGCCCCGTCTCCCGGGGATGAGGTCCCAGAAGCTGGGGACTGCGTGAGGGCACCCACCCGGGCCGGGGGGCGGGCTTCCGGGTGGGGTCCCAGTCCTTGCCGGGTGGGGTCCCAGTCCTTGCCGGGTGGGGTCCCAGTCCTTGCCGGGTGGGGTCCCAGTCCTTGCCGGGGGCTCTCCACGCTCCTGCCCTCCGCCTCGCGAGGGGAAAAGCAGCTCTGGGCGGCGGGGCCGGCCCTGCTCAGGGACGGACAAAGCCTGGAGCAGCGAGGACGTGAAGGGAAAGCCCTGGAGCGTTTATTGGGCACCGGTTTTAGGAGGGCTCCCCTCCCAGCTGCTGGGCAGGGTGACGAGCTCACGTCCGCGCACCAGAGCCGCCTGAGGCAGCACTGCCCGCAGAGGGCGCCGCAGGGTGACCGTGCCGGCCCTGCCTCGGGACGTCGGGCTCCTCGGACGTGGACCAGACGCGGAAGGCGGGCGCGCGGGCCCTGGCTGAGGGTCCGGGAAGGACAACCACGCCGGGTCCAGCGCGGGCGCAGCAGCCGCAAACACGCCTCTCTCCTCAGGAGCTGTGGCCCTTGCAGGTCAGGTGGGACGCTCCGGGCCACACCCCAGGCAGACAGGCCCCCGGCAGACGGGCCCCGGACGGGATGCGGACGAGGGGACACCAGCTGCAGGCCGCGCTGTCCGGGGCAGACGAAGCCCCCGACGCGTGGGGCCCAGGCTGTGGGCAGCAGTGTCTCCCAGACTTTTCTACAAAACACACTTCCCTTAAAACAGATGCAAGTCCGTAGGAGCCAGGAAACGTGCTCCCGCAGCTCCTGGCAGCGAGGGGCCGCGGGCTCCGGGGGGCTCAGGGCTGCAGTCGCCACGGCCTCGGGGCTGGTCCCGAGCTCCTGTCCTGTCCCAGTCTGGGCACCGGCCGGGACACCCAAAGGCCTGCACCTCACCACCCGTGCGTACAAGGGCGCCTGCCCACCGGGCTCCCGAGGGGCGGCGGCCGGCCCGGTGCTGCGGGCAGGAGCCGCCCCGGGGTCCCTCGCTCTCTCCCCGGGCCCAGACCCTCACGGCCTCGCTCACAGCCTGGCTCAGGGGCTCGGCAGCGCCTGTCACCAGGAAACCAGAGCCGGGCCAGCGTGAGTCCAGGCCTGTCCGGAAGCCTCTCGGGGCGGGGCTGGCCTTGCTTTCGGGGCCTCCCCTGGGCGGTGTGCGGAGGTGTCGTCGAGCCTTGGGTCAGACGTTGCTGACCCGGGCCTCCACCGAGGAGACGGCGGCGGGGCCCGTGCCCCTGTCCGAGGGCCTCTCCCGCCTGACGTAGCGTGGCTTCCGCACTGAAACAGGGTCGGAGACAGGACAGGCAAGGTGGGCGCGGGGCCCGGCACGGGCGCGGGGTGAGCGGCAGGCACGGGGGGGCAGACCCCGCTCGGCCTGCCCCTGAGCGGGATCGCGGCTGCAGGGAGCTCGGCGATGGATGCAGGCGGCCCCGGCACCGCCCCCGGCACCGTGGCCTGGGCAGGGCCTGGCACAGCCGGATCCCAGAGCCACAGGCCGCACGGCGCATCGCAGGCTGGATGGCGGCCCCCACGTTCTCAGCCCTGGAGCCCATGGGTGTGACCTCACTTGGGAGAAGGGCCTCGGCCGTTGTGATTTAGGGATCGGGAGCTGAGGTCCTGCTGGGTTCTCTGGGGGACCCTAAATCCAGGCACCAGTGTCCTCATAAGGGGCCACAAGCCCAGGGACGCCTGGAGCCACAGAGGCTGGGAGGCACGAAGCAGCCTCCGGGGGGCGCCCGCCCAGCTCCGCTCCTGCCTCCGGCCTCTGCGCTGCAGGTCCCGTGGCTGTGGCCACCCCGGGAGACGCACACAGGGGACGTGGGAAACGCGAGGTGCTGCGGACAGGCTGCTGCAGAGCCACCGCAGGCAAGCGTCTTAGGGAGCCCAGCGGATCCAGCCTTGACCAAGCAGCTTCTCCGTCCCCCACAGGAGGGACGGCCCCTCCTGTCCCCACCGCAGAGCGGGCCCTGCGGAACGTTCCGGGGGCCGTGGGGCTGCAGTGCTCACGGCACCACCCACCGAGGCTGACACACCTGACGCGGGAAAATGAGCGCACCCGCCCTCGGGAGGGGCTGAGGGAGGCCAGGCGCCTGGCTGACCCGCGCCCGCCACGCGGGTGGGGCTGGGACTCGGTGAAGGGGCCGAGCAAGAGCGGCAGGGGTGGCCCCTGACCCCATGCCGGGCATTCCCCTCCTGCTTCCACAGACCCGGCGTCTCAGATGCGAAAGGGAAAAGGCGCAGGGGCCGTGGGTCACGGAGGGGGCTTGGCCGCACCCCGAGCAGCTGGGGCGGGGCACGCAGGGCCAGCCGTCACCGAGCCCGAGGCCCCGGCTGTCCCTGCTGTGGCTGCGGGGCCACGGGGGTCAACGGGTCCCAGAGACAGCTGGCGTCCTGCAGTTCCCGCCAGGACGAGGGGCCCTGACGGGTGAGGGACAAGGAGCGCCCACCTACCTGAGGACTGTGGCGGGGGGATCATCGCGGCCTTGAAAGGAGAGGAGGACAGTGAGGGGCGGTGCCCCGCACAGGGGCGCCGCCGCGGGGGCAGGGCGGGGGCGCGAGGGCAGCCGGCCCACCCAGGCTACTTACGGCTTCGCCAGGCTGCAGGGCCGGGGCTGCGGGGAAGAACCAGCTGTCACGCGGGGACCGTGCGGCCACCTCGGCCTGGGGCCGGGCGGGGGGTCCCTCCACACCTCTGCCCGGCGGTGCCCTCGGCCTGGCCGTCAGCCCGGCCACATCAGGCTGCGCGAGCCGCACTTCTGCGTCCCCCCTACCCCCGTACCTCGGGGAGACCACCTCTGCCCCCGCCGCCCTGGCCTCTCCCGCGACTGCGGCTGCCAGGGTGGAGCAGGCGCAGCTCTGGCCACAGGGAGGCGGCGCTGAGCGGTCCCTGCACTGCACACGCAACGGGCCCCGTGCCCACCACGGCCAGCAGGCACCCAGCACGGACCCCGGGGCAGGGAGGGGCCGGCCCCAGCTCTCGGGACCGGGCGCTGCAGCAGCCCCCCAGGAGCACCCAGCGGAGGAGGTGGGTGTCACGATGGCAGCCGGGGGCCTCGGGCGGGCTGGGCTCTGGCCAGCGACCTCCTGGCACTGCCCTCTGAGGAGTCCGGTCTGCGGGCCGCCCCCCGGCCCGCGCCCCGCAGGTGCCCCGGGTGAACGGGGCGGCCCGGGCCCCGCTGTCCCTGCACCAGCAGAGTGGAGAGGGCGCGGCCCGAGAGGCTGTGGGCAGGCGGCCCCACAGCCCGGGCCCAGGGTGTGGGGCCACAGCGACGCACCTCCCACCGAGAGCCCCCAGTCGGCGGCCCCGGCAGGGACCGCGCCTCCTGTTCCCAGTGCCCTCCGCCACCCCCAGGCTTCGCGCCTGCACGGCCGCACAGGCCCCGCCTCTCCGCGCCCCAGACGGCAGCCGGACACACCTCTGTTTCTTCCGTAGCAGAGCCTGGGCAGTTTACTTGCGCGCTTGAGGTAGAAGAAACCGGCCACCGCGAGGATGAGGCTGGAGCTGAGGAAGAAGGTCCCCAGGAAGAGGGAGGCTGCCACCCGTGGGCCCCCTGCAGGCAAGGGCGCGCGTCAGCCCCTCCTGCACACGCTGGGCCCCAGGGCCGAGGGTGGGTGCACTCCCAGCAGGCGGCAAGGAGTCCACTCCCACAGGCCGCAGCAGCGAGCAGGGCGCGTGCGGCTGCCCTGCCTCCGCCGCCCCCACTGCCCGGCCCGGCCCGCTGACGGGGCGGCGGGGGGGCTGTGTGAGCGCCCCCTCCCAAACTCGGCTGCTCGGGGCCACCAGCCTCCGGGGCCGGGGCAACGCAGGGCCCTCGGCCCGGGTGGGGGCGCGACCCTCCCCACCCAGGCACTGTCACAGCCGACCACGGCGACCCCGCGGGCATCTCAGGCGGACAGAGGCCCCGCAGCCAGCGGCCCGCGCAGAAGCCCACTCTGGCCCAGGTAACGGGGGTGCTTACCGAGTCTCGGCTGCCCGGGCGTCCCTGGGTCCCTGTTCACAGGGGGCTGCGTGCCCTGGCCAGCAGCTGTGGGGGACAGGCCCGTCGGTGCGAGGCCACACTCGCCCTGCGAGGACCCCCGTGATGGCCCCCAGGGAGCCGGAGACGCAGCCCACAGGGGAGTCACGGGCCAGAGACCAGACCGGGTGACCGTGGAGGCAGAGCAGCCCTCGGCCCGCGGCTGCTCTGACCGGACAAGAGGCTCGGGGAGAGGGGTCCAGGGCAAGGTGGGGGCAGGAAGGGCGACCCCCGCCCGCTCCTCCAGAGCCGGGAGACGTGGACTCTGCGAGGGGAGGGCAGGAGGGCGGGGTGGGGGCGGACAGACAGGCGACCTACAGCCTCTGCACTCGGAGCTGTTGTGGGTCCCATTCCGGCACCGGACGCAGCTGGCGCTCCCGTCCTCGTTCCAGCGCCTGAAGCAGCCTGGGCGGCAGAGGCAGCGAGAGGGGGCTCAGGGCGCTGCACGCCGACCGCCCCGCTCGCAGTTTCATCCCGGGGGCTGACGGGGCCGTGGCGGGGGCGGAGGTCGGCACGGCCTCGGACCGGCCTCGCGCGCCTCCCCAGCCAGGGGTGACCTTGGCTCCGTGGCCCGACTCTCCCGAGGTCCCCGCAGGCGCCAACCCCTGCCGCCCGCAGCGTCGCTGCCCCCAGCTGCCGCCCGCCCGGGGCTCGGGGCGGATGGACGGCCCGTCTCGCCAGCTGTGCTCGTCAAGCGCAGGGACTTTGTCCCGCTCCGTTTCTATTCCTAAGCATCCCCGCCACTCAGGACGGAGCCTGGGCGAACACGCTCCGCCGATACGGGCGGCCGGCGCCCACGCCCATGCTGGCCACGGCCCTGCCCGGGGAGAGGCGCAGGCCCTCACAGCGGGCCTCGCCGACGCTCAGCCTACACAGAAGGGCCAGTGTGAGAGGAAGGCCTTCCCGCCATGACACCAAGCGGTGGCAGGGCCTGAAGAGCGACCGCACGGCCGGGGCCCCCGGGAGCCCCGCAGCGCTGTGGGCAGACCGGCCGTGTGCCAGGCGGGGCCCGGCAGGATCCAGCACGGCGCCAGGCTTTCGTTTCCTGTGAACGCAGGTTTCTCTTCCTACGTGGTGAGTTTTCTCCCTTCCCTTGGCGTCTCTCGGGAGGGGCAGGCTGCGGGCAGGCACCGGCGTCTACCCCAAGGCCCCGGAGCGGGCCGGGTGCCAGCGTAGCGCCTCCCCGGGAAGCCCGGGCCACGCCGAGTGCAGGGAAGAGGCAGGGCCAGGAAGCCAGGCCAGGTGCATCCAGGCACCAAGGCTGACTTGGGGCCAGCGAGGCCCTTTGAAAACCACCTGGAACCTGTTCCACTGGTGAGGACGGTTGCTTCCTAGCAGGGTCAGGAACCCCCAGATGCTTGGGGACCCTGAGGCCAGAGGACTCACCCAGATCTGCAATACTGCTGGCAAGGCCTGAGGACAAGTCCCCAGCTTGGCTTTTAAAAGTCTAACCTGAGGTTCTCTGGGGACAGGTCCCACCTCACAGCCTGAAAGGAGCCTGCTGAACCCGCAGACACGCAACGGGCCACGCGGGTGAGGCCAGGCCGAGGGCGGGAGCAGACCGGTCCCCCGGGGCTGCCTCTGGCAGAGGGCGCTGGCTGCAGAGAGAGGAGCTGCGCTCCAGCAGGAAACGTGTGCACCCGTGTGGATATGAGGGCCGGGCCTGCTCACGTCTGGGGCTGACCACCTGGGGACCGGCCTGGCTCGGACCCTCAGACCAACCGGACACTGCCTACAGCCTCCAACCTGACACCTGCGACCGCCTCCCACCCTCCGCCTGGAACCACGAAGAACTAAGTTGCCCTTGCCTGAAGCCCTGCACACCGAGGCTGGACACCTGAACCACTGCCACAGGCCACGTGTGGACACCCTTCGTGCCAGCTGCCGTGTGAGCCACTCAGAGGCCACGAGGACCCCAGGGCTGTCCCCAGACAGCTGAGCGGCGGCCAGGAAGGTCATCACAGACGGCCACTGCTGTCCGCACTCCGCCCACAGGTGCTTCGAGCTCAGCACCTAGAGGTGTCCTCGGCGGCCTGCTCTCTGGACTCCCTGGTCTGGGTTTGTATTTGCTCCAATCATCGGCCTTCGTTTTCCCTTTGTTTCCACAAAGGCGCCTCTTACAGGAGACCCGACGGCTCCCACCACGCAGGGGCCTCGTCCGCAGCGCTGCCCGCCGGCCCGAGACACGGCTGAGCACGCTGGACAGTGCCCCCGGCCGCTCCTGCCTGCTTGTGCTTCCACAGCTACTGGCTCGCAGTTCCAAGTGGGGACAGAGGGAGTCAGAATACGTTGCTCCAAAACATGCCTCTTTGACATAAAAATTATTTGTAGCTCAAGACACTTAAAAACGCAGGAGCAGGTGCAGGAAGGACGCTGCGACGCTCCACCGCCTCCCGGGGCTCCGGGCCAGGCTCCCCGGCTCACGTGCGCCTGCCTGCCCCCTCCACCCCCACCGTCCGTCTCTCCCCCATCGGCCGCCTCTGCAGGCCCAGCTGGGCCTCCCTGGGCGCGGAGCTGGCGCCTGCCTCCTGCTCCCCGCCAACCGCTCCACACCAGCCTCCCCCCAGGGTCCCGCCCACACCACCCAGGACGGAGCGGCCAGGCCGGGGCGGAGGGCATGGGGCCTGCACCTCCCGGTCGCCCCCCAGTGCACTCGCTGCCCCCACCAGGCGTCGGGGGCTTGATGGAGCCACCAGTGAGGCTGGCCTTTGCCAGCTCGTGCCCAAGTGCCTACCTGGGCCACACAGGCTTGTGCCTGGGCAGGTGGTATTGGCGTCTACAACGTCCACACAGCACTCGGGCTGCTGGCCCTAGAGGGCAAATGGCAGTCAGCGTCCAGACCCCGCGGGTGGCGGCTCGCACAGGACCTCGGGGAGAGACCCCCGGGGGTAGGGCCCCGGCTCCAGCCTCATGTCCAGGCAGCCCGGCCGCGACCACGCAACAGGGCACCTACCACGCCATCCGAGGACTTGCTGGCAACTTCCACCAGGAGGCCAGCCAGCAGGACGGCGCGCTGCAGCGCCATGGCCCGGAGCTCAGGGTCTGCAACAGAGGGGGTGCTGTGCGGCCACAGGCGGGGCGGGGCGGGGCGGGGGGCCCCACCTGCCTCCAGACGCGGCAGCAGACGTCCAGCCCCCGCCCACCCCGCGCCCAGCGGCAGGGCTGCTGAGCTGCCGGAGGCTCAGGGCCTGAGTCCCGCTGGGGCGAGGCCTGGGAATCACGGTGCCCGGAGAGGCCCACTGGGGGTCGCTGTGCAGCCAAACCAGGCGGGGCCCCGACTTTTCTCCCCGCAGGGAGGCTGCCCGCAGGAGGCCGGGGGACCACGGTCGGCCCACCTGACCTGGACTGCTCCCCCAGCCGCTGCCAGAGGGGGGACTGAGCGGGGGGCGGGGGGCAGCCCCTGCACGCGCCCTCAGACAGGCTTGGCCTCCGCCGCCTCGTTCTGTGCCCACGAAACCCCAACCCGGCCCCGAGCCCCACCGGCTGGGGCCTGAGCCGGCACGTGTCTAACGTACGCAGGCTGGCACAACCCCTGAAGCTCAACGGTCAAGACTAGTCTTAGCCAAACTGCTGCCAACATGCAGGTGGTAACCAGTTACAGTCTGTCTCCGACACGTCATGGGGAGTGTTTGCAAGAGTAAAAGTCACCCCTAAGAAGGTCTCACACTTGACAGAAACAGCTGAGCCCCCAGCAGCAACCCCGGGGAACTGCCCACCCCTCCGCCCAGGGTCCTCAGTGTGTCCGGGGCAGGGGCGAGGGACCGAGGGTTCCCGCCCGGAGGGTCCTGGGGGACAGCCCACGGCCCAGGGCCCTGGCCAGCCCCCCGGAGCAGGGACGGTGAAGGCCAGGGTGACAGCCCTGAGCGGCCCAGCCGGGACACAGGCGGGGGTCTGCCCTGCCGTTCAGTTTGCGCCAGGTTCAGTCAGGGCCTCCGATGGGCGCTGAGGCCGGAACAGCCTCTTCTCGGGCCTGTTAAGGGCACCTCCGCCCCCCCCGCCCATGCCCTTCCCAAGGGACCTCCCTCCTGTGGCGAAGTCCCTCTTTTCCCCCAGCAACGGCCGATGTCACTCAGGCCCTGACCCCTCTGCTGCAGGGCAGGACCCGAGCCATCTGCTTAGAGGCCGCCTTTCCTGCCTCGTGGAAAAGTCCAGACGCCGGGCCCTTCCGCCCGCTCTGGGTAAGAGGCGCCCCAGGGTCACACTAAGCCACAAAGCACATTTCAGTTCAGTGCTCATGACCCGTGGGACAGCAACGCGTCCCAGGGACGCAGAGGCCAAGGCCGGGCGCTGTGAGCAGCGGCACGAGCAGTTGGGCCACGTCCGAGGTCTGCGCCGCCGCCCGCGGGCCCACAGGGACAGGCGTCAGGGGAGGGCGCCTCCGCACAGACGTGGGCCCCGTCCCCCACGGGGGGCCTGCCTCGGTGACAGGCGCAGGAGGGACAGGACGGGAGCAGCTCCCCTGGCGCCGCCGCCTGACCCGGGTGGCCCGGGGAGACACCCCCTGGGACGCTGTGCGGGCTTCAGGTGCCCCGCTGTGATGCAGAGGGGCCGCCCACCTGTGGTGCGTTGGCCCCAAAAACCCACACCCTGTTTCACCAGGGCACACATTAGACAAACCCAACACAAGGGACATCCTGCAAAACACCTGAGCTGTCTTCTCAAAACGGTCACGACCATGAAAACACAGGAGGGGCTGGGACACTGCCACAGACCAGAGGGGACAAAGGAGACGTGTGGCATCCTGGGCGGGGGGGCAGGAAGTCCGGCGTCTGGGCCGTGGCAGCAGCGAGGTCACACGTCGTCCCTGAGTTTCGACACGTGTGCCAGGGTTACGCTCGGTGTTCCTGTTCGGAAACACAGGGCTGTCTGCGGCCTTCCTGCAAATTTGAAACTACTCCAAGATTTTTAAAGTTAATTTTAGAAATATTGCAGACCGTTAATAGAATGCACAGGCAAGTCAAAAATGGGAGGTAACATTTACGCTGCCTCTGACAAGCCTTGTCTCCAGCAGACATCGAGGACTTTACCACCCAGGAACCCAGGAAAGGGCAGCAGGCTGGACCAGGCACCTCGGGAGACGGGCGCAGGGGCCGAGAAGCGGCCGGAAGCGCTCAGGCCAGCAAGCTCCCGGATGCGCGGATGGCGCCACTGCTGGCCTGCGAGGCTCCGCGCCGCAACTCCACTAGGCATCTGCTCAACGAGAACGTGTCACAGAAAACGGGCACAAGGATGCACACCGCCTTGGTCACACGGGCCAAGCGGGAGAACCCCCAGCTCCGTCAGAGGCCTGCGGCGTGTCCCCAGGAAGGGCGGTGACGCAGGAACCTGAGCAGGAGGAAGGGCAGGTGCGGTTCAGCTCCATGAAAACGAGGTTTCACAGGGCAAATCTAAGGAGCAGTGGCAGAAACTGGGCGCTCGCTCCTGGGGGCTGGGTCTGGAAAGGCGTACGAGGTTCCCGTCAGCTCTGGTGGCCATGACAGGTCAGCAGAGACCACGCTTGTTTCTCACAGTTTTGGGGGGGGGGCGGGCCCAAGGCTCCACCAGCCGGGAGACTCAGGTCCATGAGGCTCCTCCTGACTCAGGCGGCGGGCCCTCGCCGTCTGCTGGCCTGGCCTCTCCGAGGAGCCCCTCCAGAGAGCGTGAGCCGGGACAGGGGTCCCTCCTCTCTCATCAGGGCCCTGGTCCCACCAGGACCCACCCTCCTGACCTCATGTCACCCGAACCACCGCCCAAAGGCCCACCTCCACCCTCACACAGGGTCAGGGCCTTGCCTTATGGGCTTGGGGACGCAAGCCTTGAGCCCACGCAAGGGGACCTTCAGGGGCACCAGGATTGCTTTCTCATGTGGCAGCCCATCTGTCAAAACGGGTCAGACTGGGCTGTGCTCATCACTGTATGGGAATTACCCCTCCAAACCAATGAATAAATGCAGTTCCCGTTCTATTCTGAAAACCTTATTGGTGCCAAAAGGCTACACAATTGGATAAAACCATTTCTACAAGGTGGTGAGAATTTAAATTGAACTGCACGTTCTTCCAAACGCCTGTTTTTCCTTTGAAGAACTGGTTTCAACGAAGGCCCGTCCTCAGGTCAGGCGCAAAGGGAACTGCGGGGACGACACTCGGCCAGCCAGGCAGGGGCTGGGCGCTGGCAGGCCAGCCACACGCACGAGCCGCCCAGCCGAGGGCGAGGGCCGGGCAGGGCGCGGGGCGGCGGTCCGGCTGCTGTTTCCGCAGCGCGGACCTCTGCCGCTGCCCCTGTTCAGACGTCCATGGGCTCCGCGACGGGAGGGATGGGTGGAGGCAGCACGCGGGGGAGCACGCGCCGGGAAAAGCAGCTCCCTGCCTAACCCGGACTGTCTCCTTCTAGGAACGGGCCTCCGGAGACAAGGCGGCGTTAGGACCCTGGCTGGACCCCGAGGCCCGACCGGGCAGACCCAGGCCGCCTCCTCCGTCCGCCGCGGGGACGCCGAGAACAAGGCGAACACCCACGAATTCGACGGGACGCGGCGGTCAGGAGTGAGTTCTGCCACAGAGCCGCTTGGGGGGACAGCAGCTGTATGTGCCAAAACGCTGTTCCTTGAAATGCTGTAAAAAACGTACCCGAACCACCTGGCCCCAACCACACCGGAACTAGAACATCTACTACACCGCCCCGGGGACAGCGCTCAACTGCGACCGGGACACCTGCGTTACGGCTAAATCGGCACTATTTCGGGGCGATGAGCGCGGAAACCTCTGAGAAGAGGCCCGTCAGGACCCGGACGGTCCAGCGCGGCCGGACGCCATGCGCTGGCCCGGCGGTTCGGCGACGGGGTTCCAGGTCCGGTTCCCGGGGCTCCCTCAGGCCACGACGCCCGGGGGTCCGGTCGCTCTGGGGTCCCCGCGGACCTTTGTTCCACCTCCGCGCCCCGTCCCTGCACCGAGACTGCCCCGCCAGGGCGTCCTCTCTCCTACGCCGGCCCTAGCACCCCTGTCCCCGCGGTCCCCGCCGCCCGCCCACCCCCAGCCTCTCACTCACCCCCGCGCCCTTTGGGTTCCTCTTTCGTACCCCCCGCCCTCCAGGCGGTCGCGCCGTGCCCCCTGGGACTTGTAGTCTCTCCGCTGCCGCAGCCCAGGTTCTCGGTCGCGAGACTCCCAGCACAAAACTACATATCCCGGCGGTCCTCGCGAGAGTTGGCTCTCGCCAGGTGAGTTCCGGCACAGCGTGCTCGCGAGGGCGTAGGAGGCGCGCGCGGAGTGACCTGGGAAGTGTAGTTTAGGGCGCTTCACTGCTGGGCTCCGGGCCCTGGACTGGGTGGGCTACGGAGGTAGGGGAGGGGCTACACTGCCCAGGATTCCACGCGCGCGGGCCCTCTTGGACGTTGCTAGGAGACCGGAAAGCGCGGCGGCGGCGGCGGGCCGTCAGAAAGAGCCGCCCGAAGACCGCGTTGGCCGCAGTGCCGTGTCGGCCCCTACAAACGGCGCTGTTGGTTCTCGTCTTCCTGCTGTCCGCGCAGCGCTCCTCGCGGGAGGAAGCCTCCCGATCTCTGGGCTCGGCCAGTCTCCCGCTTAGCGGAGGCTGCTGCGAAATGCTGACAGCAGGTCTGCGCGTGGGGTGACGGCATGGGTCGTGTCTGTGGTCTTAAGCGGGGAGGGAGAGCTCCAGCCTCCCTCCGAGGCGACCGGGGGCACCGCTGCCCCTCTGCCTCACTCGAGAAAGTGACAGCAGGTGGGACCCGCTGTGCACGGTCACGTGGCGGGAGACGCCGCTGTCTGACGGGACCGCGGACCGACCCGCTCCCCAGCCGAGCGCGTTGGAGACACTCGACGTCTCCTAATGCCCCCGCCTGCAAAGTGCAGACCTGCCAGCTCGGACCCCCGACGCGCTGGCCGGCGGGGTTTGCCCTGCGGAGAACTCCTGATAGGAGGCCCCGGAAGGAGTCTTGGTCCCGGGCTGTCTCGCAGCCCAGCGCTGCCACTCTTGGGGTGATGTCGAGCCTTTGAGGGGTCAGGATTAAAGAGGGTATCGCAGTGCCTGGTCACAGCCCTCTAGGGCATGCGAAGGTAGCCCGGGGAAGGGGGTGTGCAGGGAGCTTCTGGGAGAACAGAGCGAGGCCGCCACTGGCCTTTCCGCGCCCAGCACGGTTCTCCCTTCCCTAGTGGTGGGCGTGGCCCGCAGAGCACAGCCGGCAAGAAAGGTCACCGGGGGCTGCTCTGTGCCACCGGGGCAGGGCCCATGTACCACAAGGCCGCTACTTTGAGAGCAGTGTCTGGGCTGGCGAGTCTGAGCAGAGATCTGTGGCCTTGGCCTGGACCAGGAAGGGCTCCCGCAGGGCGCACGGACGCACATGGGCTCTGCAGGTCCCCCCGCACGCACTTCCGTGTGAACGTGAGCAGGCAGGTGTGACCCCGGTTCCTCTGCTGCTGAAGCTGGTGGGACTGGTTCCTCTTCCCCCCAAGCTCCACCCCGTGGACTCCTGGGAGGAGGGGGCTGTGGGTGCTCCCCAGTCAGTCCCGGAGACCGCTGGGTCTAGGGTCAGGGCTGGCACCCTGGGCTGGCTCGGTCCCAACAGGACGGCACCAGGCAGGTGGAATCTCCACGTGTGGTCTCAGGCTCCGCCTCTGAGCCACCCTGGACAAAACAGAACAAAACGAAACACTACTGAGCGCGTGGCCCGTAGGAGTCCCCGCTTCTCAGTGAGTGGAGTCAGACGTGGGCTCCTGCAAGGGTCTGGACCCTGTCAGCGTCCCTGAGGTCGTCTGCGTAAGAGCTGGGTGCTGGTCAGGGCTCGGAGCTGCCAGGGCGGGCCACCTGGCCCAGCCCTGGGGGTCCGCCTCCCCTTTCGATGCCGTCTCAGGACACACGTCCCAAGTGTGAACATCCGGAGTTCTCAGCGGACACAGAGCGCCAGTCTCCTCACAGAAGGCTCTGCCCTGAGCAAGGGGTTTGGCTCGGGAGGGAGAGCCGTATGTGCCTTCTCTTCTGGTCACCAGCGTTCGCTGAGTTTCTCTCATTGGAAGCCGGAGGTTTGGTTCCAGGGCGCCCCTCAGGGCCTCTGGCAGGAGATGATGCCTCCAGCTCTGGCCTCCGAATGACACCCTGTTTCCGTCCATCAGAGTCTTGGGTGTGGGCGCCCAGGACAAGAAGGTCACTGGTTTTCAGGATGGTGTGAACCTCTGGCAGCAACGGTAAAAACATTCGAGAGCTAAGCTGTGCCCAGGAATGCAGTAGCCGACACGGGCCAGCGTGATCGGGGGACCCGGGCCCCGTCCCACGGGGGAGGGCGGCGCTCGCTTTGCTCTCTGCGGAGCGGCGTCTGGGGCGCCCGCCAGCCGAGCCTCGCGGGCACTAGCGCTTTGCCTGTCCCGAGGCTGTTGCCGCTGCTGGGGTTGTTCCTCAAAGCCAGTGGACGCGGGGGTTCCCGGCGTCGTGTGACGTGCTGATGAGGCCGTCGGCTTCAGCCCCAAACCTCCCCAGCGACATCCACCCGTGCGCAACAAGTCATTTACTACCAGAGGGTGACATTCTCACTCCAGTGCTTCTCAGAGGCGTCGAGCGTGAGCTCCCAGAAACGGCACCAAGGAAACCTGCTGGCAAGAGGGTGCCGAGTGCACTGTGGTCTGAGTCCGCAGAGCCCTGGGCGGGTCGGGCGGGGGTTCGGCGAGGAGGAGGCTTGGGCAGCATTGCAGAAGGGCCCCGGTGGTAGTTTGGGGTCGGTGGACGCAGCAAGACAAAGGTTCCGAGGAGTCTTTTCTTGGGATCCATTGAAAGCCTCGTGTTTATATTTTTTCCTACAAAGTCCCTGAAATGAACAATAAAGTGACCTGTACCTTTTCCCGTGCAGGAGTCTCGAAGTCTCGTGACACCCCCTGCCCCTCAGACACCGCCGCTGCGAAGCCCCGTCCGTCCCTCAGCCCACGGTCCCCGGGGAGCCCCGACCCTCCTCAGACGGGGAGGGCCCCTCCACTCCTGCGTGGCTGGGAGCGTTTTTGGTTTTTGTTCCTAATCAGGAGCAGATGTTGACTGTCCAGCACTTAACAAGCAGATCTATCGAGATGACCGTAAGGGCGTTCCTTTTTTAGTTTGTCCACCTGGTGAGTTGCACGGGTTTTCTAATGTTGAGCTGGGGCAGGAGGCGCCTGCCTTGGGACGACTGTGCTTTGTCGCCTGGTGTCAGGGCCTCGAAAACCAGGGTCTCCTGGGTCGCGTCTGGGTTTCGGTGGGTCGGGGGAGGGGTGGAGGTGGGTCCCTGGAACTCCGTCTTGGCCCGAAGCACAGCCTGTTCCTATTTTCGTTCCCACCCCCCACTCCACCCTTCCAGACACCCAGCCCCAGCTCCTCAGGGAGACGCAGCCGCTGGCTGTGAGCAGCGGCCCCTCCGTCTCCTCGACGGCACGGCCACGCTGGCTGTTCGCCCTCCCGCTGCAGCCCTCAAACTCCGGCTCTGCTGAACGGGACGGAGCCAGACTCCCGCTCGAGCTGAGGACGTCGCGTGCTCGGAGTGGGGAGCGTCACCGCTGGGCGGGGCACACTGCCCCGCGTCCTCCGTGCGTCTGCCGTGGGGTGGACTTGCTGCACAAGCGTCCCCTGTCCCCTCCCGAGGTCGGGCCCTCGGTCGGCCTGCTCCTACCAGCGGGGCGGCGGCCCAGGCCAGAGCAGGGCCCACCTGGACAGCCCCCCCACCGGGCGGCCGGGCCCCTCGGGGGCTGCCCCCGCTGGTCTCCAGGGAGCGGAGCACCTGCCTCGGCTGCGCGGGCCACGGGGCCCCTCCAGGGCGGGGGCGGCCGCACGAGGCCAGTGACGCTGCTGGGGAGACGGCCGGTCGTGAGGCTGAGGAATGTCCCCGTCAGGCGAACGTGACGGGCAGTGAGTGACCGCGCGCGGCCCAGCCGAGACCGTGAGCGCTGTTCCCGGACCTTCCCCACAGCCCGTGCGACATGCCGTCGGGTGAGGCGGGCGTGTGAGCACGGTTCTCGGGAGCTCGTCACGGCGAAGAAAAACGTCTCGACTGAAACGGGAAATGCGTTCAGTCTCGAGGACCCGGACATGTGGGCGCCCACACAGCGGTCACACAGGGACGGTCCCTGAAGGCCACGGGCCGGTGCTCGGTGAAAGCTGCCCGGGGTGCCACTCGGGTCTGGCAGAAAGGTCCGGGTGCGGGTGCTGCCTCAGGCCACTGGGCGGCCGTGACCCTGGGTGGGTGCCTCCCGGCCCGGAGACGCCCTCAGGGTGGGGGATGGGAGCGGGGCGGGGCGGCCCCGGGTCACGGTTGCGAGGCCGGAGAATGTGCCCCGTGGGAGGGTGGGCTTGGCCCCCGAACCGTCGCCCACCGGAAGTTACTTAGACTTGGCGCTTTGAGGCGAAGGCCTGCTGGACTTACGTGCAGTGTCAGAAAACTGAAGAGAACTTCTGGGAAAACTTAGGTGTTCATTTAATTTAGCTGCCTGTCTTCCATTTGACTGAGGTTTGGTGAATTCAGACGAGGTTGGAAAGGAAACAATGTGTTATAGTTGCAAGAACAGGTTAAGATATTTGAAGGTGGAAAAAGGCCCAGAGGTTTTACTGAAGAGACATGCAGGTGGCCAACGCCCCCAGGGGAATGTGCCCGGAGCCCCATAAGACACCGCGCGCCTTCCGAACGAACGTGACAACAGCAAACGCCGGGGAGGCTGTGGAGGACGGGCTGGCCCCTCGTGCGTCGCCGGAGGGAGAGTGAAGCGGAGCAGACGCCCGGGGCTGCGTGGCGGCGCCTGAAAGCCTGGCCCGCTGCCCGCGCGACCCAGCAGTCGCACCCCTGGGCACAGCAAGGAGCACGGAGGCCCACGGCCACAGAGCCCCACGCTGGAAGCAACGCGGTGTCCCAGGGCCGGCGAGAAGCCACACCCCAGACAGCTCCCGGCAACAGCTTGCAGGGACCTCCAGGGCGTTGCAGGGGAAAAGAATCCAAGTTCTGAAGGTCACCCGCTCTGGGAGTCCACGTGTCCCAGGTCCCTGAAACGGCAAACGTGCGGAGACAGAGGGCAGGTGGCCTGCGTGCTGGGTTGGGGACGGCCACGAGCGGGGCCC